GGCGCCGGCCTCCCTTCCACATGTGTCCCCTCTCAGGCTGCCTCCCCCCTGCCCCCCCCTCCTCCTCCTCCTCCTCTTCCTCTCCCTTTACCTCCCCAATCCTCAATAAACCATCAAGGCCATCCCTCAGCTAAGGAAAATATTATTCCCCTTTTCCGAAAACCCGGCAAATGAAATGCGGTCTGGTCTGACGGCGCGGAGCCGTGTTTGCACGTGAATTACATAATTGTCAGGGTTTGAAGGAGCTAAAGCCTTTAATTCGTACCACATGATGAATCTGCCGCTCTTAATTTCAGCACAGAATGAAGACAAATTTCCAGAGCCGGCTCGTTTTTTTAAGAACCTAAGATTAATCTCTGCCACCCTTGACACTTCAGACACACGATGAGAAATGAAAGCCCGCTGCAGACGGACGTTCAGCCGTTCACGTCTCTCCTTGTCTTTTCACAGAGCCTGGTATGAAGACGGCAGGTTGTTACTGATCCTGATAACAGTGGCCGTTGTTCTGCCTTTGTCACTGTTGACCAAAATTGGTAGGTCCATCAGATACTGTCAACACCAAGTATTCAGTTCCTTATAACCATTTACTTCTTACCAAACGTGTGTGTCTGTGTTACAGGCTTTTTAGGATACACCAGCAGCCTGGCCTTTTTCTTCATGCTGTACTTTACAGTTGTGGTAAGTGAAACTTGGTGCGACTGTTGGGGGATAATGGTGTTGGAAGTGGAGTTCCTCCTGTCCAGAAATTATGTCTGAGACAGAAAAATGTGTTGAGTTTGGTCAAGTCAAGTCTCAAAGATACAAATAATTTACCGTAGTAAGTAAAAAGTTCTCCTCAATTTCAAGTCCAAATCCAAATAGAAATATAGAAAATATAGAAAGAATTATTAATATTATTTCTATGTCAGTGAAGAAATAGTTTAGTCGAGACTTGGTCAAATCCTGAGGACTTACTGTTTAAGTCATTAAAAAAAAAGAGTCAAATACTCACAGGTTTCAGTCGAGATGTATTTAGAAAATAATTTGTAGTAAAATCCTAGCCTAGTCCTGTATTTTCTCTGAAAAACCCAAGGGACCCCGAGTCCAGTCTCTGTTGTTTTATTGTCCAAGTCTGAGTCCCTGAAGTCATATATTTTACATGTTCATGTGTCACTTAGTAAGTCTAGTCTGAGTCGAGTCCCAAGTCCTAGTCTGGAGTGCGACTGTCTAGTCTGAGTCGAGTCCCAAGTCCTGGTCTGGAGTGCGACTCTGGCTACTTCATTTTTTTTTTTCATCTGGCTACTTCTTTTTTTTTTTTTTTTATACCCTAAGACATTAATTGAAGTCAAACTTCTGTACATTTCATGTCCCATTCTGTCCTAACTCCAGATCGTGGTGAAGAAGTGGGCCATCCCCTGTCCCCTCCCTCACAATGCGACCACGCTTATAGAGGCCTCCCAGGTAACACCAATCCTCATTTCCTTCTTTGTTTATCCACATGCACATGAACCCCCGTAAGATAACACAGGTCTGAGGTAGGTAGTCTGGAGGGGACGGTCACGGCCACAGGACAGAAGGACAGACCCAGAGGACTGAGTTTCCTGACGGGGTCAGAGGAAGACGGTGATGAGAAGCTTCTGGAGGAATATGTAAAAATGTTGTGGCAGTCCTGAGGGGAAGGAAGTCGACGTGACCTCGTCTGAGTCTGGAAGTGAACTCTGACCTATAGAAAATATACAGACCACACTGAGACCTCGGTCCCTGGCACTGCTTAATTGTTGTTTCTTTGGGCAGCAGTGGAATTTATCTGTACGTTTCCTCCATCAGCAGCAGCAGCAGCTCTGCTTCACGAGTCGTCTCTCTTTCAGAAATAACACGCTCCCTCTTCTCTCTTTGTTTCTCCAGGTATCAAATTCCTCTGACTCAGAGTGCACGCCCAAACTCTTTGTCATCTCCAGTGAGGTACGTATAAAAAAACTGCTGGGGTTTTTTTTATTTTTTTTATTTTGTTTTCTAGCGCTGCTCATGCAGAAGTGATGAGGTGTCAGTGACATGCAAAGAATGTCTTATACTTTTTTTAAATACCACCCAACTGCAGACATCAGTACTTTTTGTTCTGCAACATCACTCTCCACCGTGCAGGGCTGCAGTTCCCGCCGTCGTCCACACATCTGTTCCATACTGGCTGCAGTTTTTGACTGGTGTGATTCCAGTTTCCAAAACACATTTCTGACAGGTTGCCTTTCTCGAGTTTTCTTTCCCACAGACAGCTCAGATCCTACGATACGTTTTTTCGACAATCTGAAATCTAGATCCCTGTGTCTAACTCCAGGGGTTTTATTTCATCACCACGTCGGTGAACGTCGCTAGTTTGTGCCACGTCTCAGGAAAGAAATAGTTTTTTTGGAGGAGGTAATAATTTTCACCTGGTGTTTTCTTGGTTTCGTTATATATTTTTGTTTCCGTTGGCAACGTCAGGACTTTCTAAACAAGCTCGAATGTTCAGTTTTGGTGGTAATAAAACCCTGTGCTCTCTGTGAAAGCACGAAGAAAAACGAGCTTTAACGAGAATGAAAAGTTCTTCCTGTGAGCGCTAATAATTTAGTCTTCAACTCCGGGTCGGCAATAATCTGGTGACAAGTCACACTCCTTCGCTGCATGTGCGAGAGTCTTGGCCGCGGCGTGCATCTGGCCCTCACATGTATGTTACATGTAGGGACCAAACAAACATGTGGCGCGCAGATTCCCACCGAGCACCAGTTGGTTCCAGTTGTTCGGACGCAGCTTGATGCTGATCTTTGAACACGCCACATGCAGCCATATTTACATCCACGTGGATACAGTTCTGCAGTAAAGCTTGTAAAATGAAACCCAGATGGGAATCACACCCCCCACACCCTGCTGAAAACCACACCTTAGCCCACCTGGCCCCTCACTCCTGTTTAACACTGTAAGCTGATAATTTGTTAATGGCTGTTGTGCTGTGATGACGGTGTGTTACAGAGTGTCTACGCCATTCCCACCATGGCCTTCTCCTTCCTCTGCCACACGGCCATCCTGCCCATCTACTGTGAGCTGGAACGGTCAGAACTGAAGCCTTACCTTTTTATGATTTCACTATTTGTTTTTGTTTTTTGTTTTTTAACCCATTTTCAAAATCCCCTCTCGTCTCTCAGGCCCTCCAAGACGAGGATGCAGAACGTCACTAACGTCAGTCTGGGCCTCAGCGTCCTCATCTACTTCATTTCTGCTCTGTTCGGCTACCTCACCTTCTACGGTTAGTCTGTAGACCGTACACACACACACACACACCCTGTCATTTCGTCTCACTCCGTGACCCAACCCTCCGTCTGCTGTTTTTTTACAGATAAAGTGAACTCTGAGCTGCTGCAGGGCTACGCCTACCTGCAGCGGGACATCATGGTGATGGTGGTACGACTGGCCATCCTGCTCTCTGTGCTGCTCACTGTGCCTCTCATTCAGTTCCCTGTGAGTAGAACAAATACAATAACATTTATTTCTATACCAAGTCATTTTATACCATTTTATTTTTTTTTAAATGACTATAAAGGTTTAAATAAAAGAAAAGTTTGTAGTTCTTGCTCATTGTTGACAGACGTAGATCTCTCCTTTCCCTGCAGGGGGAGCCAATAATAAAAACGCTCATGAGCCCATTAAAAATTACTTTGTGGTTACAGAGAAACCTTGCTTTTTCCCTGTCTATTAAACATCTCTATTAAATTGTTTGCATAAAACTATTTACATACAGTACATACAGTATTACTGCAGTGACATGTCCTTAAACCATGCACGCTCCGCTCTATTAAATTGTTTGCATAAAACTATATATTTTTATATATATTAGCGTAGCATTTTTAGGATTCAGGAGTTTAATGATCACACTGTCTGTTATACACACTGAGTCCCTCCTTAAACCATGCATGCTCCATGGGTCAAAGGAAAAGTCGATCATCTCCATTGGGAAGGTCAGGGGTTTGATCCCAAAATCTGCTGGTCTACTTGACACCGTGTCCCCTGGTGGACCAAACTGGTCATCATCGCATGTTATAGTGACCACCCAGTGTCAGGGAATAAACTGTCACACGCTTTTCACTGTTCTTTAACTGTCTAGTTCATGAAAGTTATGAATGTGAAAGAAAATATACAAATATGTTTTATACATATTTACATATACATATATTTTATTTATATGTATAGTGACAAGTACTTTGCTACTGTCAACACATATATGTTATATACATATATACATATATGTATGTCGCTGTGGTGTGTCTTTGAAACAGAGATTTTTGTTTTTTTAGATAACATGATTATAATGTTTTATTTTATTATGGTATTTTGTGATTTCAGGCCCGTAAAGCTCTGATCTTGATGTTCTTTGAAGGACGACCCTTCTCCTGGTTCATCCACATCGTTACAACTCTGGGCATCCTGGGAGTGGTGCTGACCATGGCCATCTTTGTCCCTGATATCAGAAATGTATTTGGTGTCGTAGGTATGTGATGTTTTTACTTATTACTATTATCATTTCAAAGTTTTGTTTCAGCTGAAAAAGTTTCCATGTCCTTACACTGCCACCTACTGTAAATATGCTGCTGCTGTGTTTGTGTGTCTGTCTGACTGTAAGAGAAGCCAAGGTCTCAGTGAAGTTGTCAACATTCCACCAGTATTGATTGTGTTGGCTCAAATGGCAGTATTCATTCATGCATATTTAATGGGTACAGTCCTGCAGTGTACCATCTGCTGTGATCCCTCGTGGATCATGTGGTCTGTTAAAGTCAGGATGACTTATTTTTCCCTCCTTCTCCTCCAGGATCGACCACATCCAGCTCCCTGATGTTTATTTTCCCCAGCATCTTCTACCTGAAGATCATCAGTCAGTCGTTCAGAACCTTTGAATCCATTGCGGTAAATACAGACTCAGTACACGACAGTACACTACAGTACACGACAGTACACGACAGTACAGTACACTACAGTACAGTACACTACACTACACTACCCTACACTACACTACAGTACAGTACACTACAGTACAGTACACTACAGTACAGTACACGACAGTACACGACAGTACACTACAGTACACGACAGTACACGACAGTACAGTACACGACAGTACAGTACACTACACTACAGTACAGTACAGTACACGACAGTACACGACAGTACACTACAGTACACGACAGTACACGACAGTACACTACAGTACACGACACTACAGTACACTACAGTACACGACAGTACACGACAGTACACTACAGTACACGACACTACACTACAGTACACGACACTACACTACAGTACACTACACTACAGTACAGTACAGTACACGACAGTACAGTACACGACAGTACAGTACACGACAGTACACTACAGTACAGTACACGACAGTACACGACAGTACAGTACACGACAGTACAGTACACGACAGTACAGTACACTACACGACAGTACACGACAGTACATGACAGTACACGACAGTACACTACAGTACAGTACACGACAGTACACGACAGTACAGTACACTACACGACAGTACACGACAGTACATGACAGTACACGACAGTACAGTACACTACAGTACAGTACACTACACTACACTGCACTCCACTACACTAAACCACACTACACTCCACTACACTACACCACACTACACTACACCACACTATACTACACTACACTACAGTACAGTACACTACAGTACAGTACACGACAGTACAGTACACGACAGTACATACAGGATCTTAAAGGTGCAGTCTGTAGGATCTGTAGTGATTTATTTCTCATTCAAACATGTAGCAGAACACACTTTGACTACTGCATTTAAACTACCCAGAAAAGATCAGTAAAAACCAGTGATGATCAACATGTGGTTCCACAGTGAAGCTGTTAACACGCCAGCCTTAGAAGCAGAGAGTCCTGGGTTCAATTCCCAGAGGAACCACATGCTTGATAACGTTAGTCCTCCTCTGTAAGTCGCTTTGGAAAAAAAGCGTCTGCTAAATGCATAAATGTAAATATAATCTAAATGGTGGTCCGTGGGCCAAATTTTGCACACCGAACCGTTCATCCCGGCCCGTGACTTGATTCCAAAATTGTGAGGATCAAAGAGAAAATCTTTTGTAGATCCCATAGCAACTGAAAAAACAAACAACAATGACAGTAAAATAACCAACATTTATGACTCTATTTACTTTACTTTAGACAAAAATGTGATTTTCACTTCAATTTATTTGTCCCCAAGGTGTTTATCCAGAATAATTCTGGCCCTGACAAATATAGTTGGGGTCGGTCTGGGGACCGGTGCCGGTCCGTAGGCCACAGTGAAAAATTGTACCTCAGTTTTACTGACTTACTTCATTCCCGTCATATCCCTTTACTTTTTTTCATTCAAAGATAATCTGTCAATGTTTCAAAACAACACCATTCCGACTCAGACAGAACAAAGTCTAACAGATGTTTTATTTTGAAAATTTAATGATCCTTCAACGATGGCACGGTATTACCGACTAACCGGCTCTGGGTACAAAAAACGTTGGAGGCCACTGCTCTATAGACTTTCACTCTTGAGACGTGGTGGGTCCACGAGCCTTAGGTTTGACATGTGTGGATTTTGGTACAAAAAACGTTGGAGGCCACTGCTTTATAGACTTTCACTATTTTACCTATGAAAAAAATCAGTTTGATTCCAGTTGATTGTTGGACCAAACGTCCATCCTGACCTCAGTCACTGACCACAGCGCTCTGTATGTTTCCAGGCCATACTCCTGATGATCTTTGGCATCACTATGGGAATCGTCAGCATGAGTTTCATCATCTATGTGTCGGTACAAGGGTACTAACTCTCTAACGCTCTCCGTCGCGTTAGAGACACACAAAAAAAAAAAGGAATTATGTGCCAAAGAAATTGAGTACTGCACCAAAAAAAGGGAAGAGTTGGATTTACATCAGGAAATGTTAGTTCTCAGGAGTGAATAAATCTTCATCTCCGTGTACTTTTCCACCCAAGGCAGAAAAGTCTGAGCCAAAACTTTACTGTTACATTCACTCCTTTCTTTAAAATGAGGATTTGTGTTTTTAAACACAAATTGAATATGTTAAACATTATCTATTAATGTTTTGTTTTTTTAACCTTCTTTTTAAGACCTTGTGTTGGTCTGTGTATTCAATCTATTATAATGTGAAAAAATCCTGTGGACCAAGTATTTACAGTATGTATCAGGTTTACATAAAAAAAAAAAAAAAAACTTTCATTTTGCACATAAACAGCCATGGATCAAACTTAAATTCTTTTACTTATGTAGCTGTGTTTTCTCTTTTTCTCTTTTAAGTTTGACATTTTAAAGTCTTATCAGGTGCAATACAAAAAGTCTGACTTTAACGATTTCTCTGTCACTTTATATCCTTGAATGACTGTTCTTCTGGGACCAGTCGACGTTGTATCCCTGCATGTTGAAACTTTACCTACAGTTATTAAAAAAGGAAATGATCGATGCATGACACGCTGATTCTCCTCATTGAATCTGAAACAAAACGTCTTTATTCGTGTTGTTGTGGACAGACCGTCGGTCCGTCGGGTCACATGTCTGCCTGTGTTTTTTGATTGACAGGCCCAGTATTGACATTAAGACCCACTCCTCACTGTTGTGATGTGGTTTGAGTCTGTAGCTAATGAAAGCCACATGGCCGGTCCGTTTCCAATCGTGAAGCTGTTTAGATTGTCTTCATGCTGCCTGTGGAACCGCTGTCCACCCAACTGCTGCTTTTAATCAGAGGAATTAGGCGGCCCGCCCCGCTGCCCGTCCAGAAAGAAGAGGCTGCTCGCTCTTCACGGCCCTTTAAAAGCTGCTTTCCCAATTCAGGAAATATCCTCCAGCCCTGTAGGCTGCAGCAGACTACACACTGCTGAATATGGACCACAACAACCACACTCAGAACACCCTGTAGGCTGCAGCAGACTACACACTGCTGAATATGGACCACAACAACCACCGACACTGACCAGGTTTGAGGCTGATGGAAGATAAGTTACTCTGATTAAGTTTGCTGATTTTATTAGTCTAAATACAGAATATATGAGGCAGTGGACAACTTGGTATCCAAGTCCGAGTCACCAGAGACGAGTAAAAGCCCAGTCCTTAGAGTGAGAGTCAGAAGACAAATCACTTAAAACAAATAGTAAGAAAGTCAAATTCACAAACAAAGTGCAAGTCACGGCTTCACTGTTTTTGAATTCAAGTCCAAGTCACTAAAGAAAATGTAGTCAAATCTTCTGGGTTTCAAGTCATTTTGAGTCTGAGACAAAGAAGAGAAGTTCAAGCTGACTCCTCTCAGACTAAAATAAGTTTATATATATATATATTGTTGCAAATGTTTTGTTTGGAGTCACTAAGGAACTTTAAAGACAAGTCCCAGGGTTCAAGTCACTGAAGAAAGGTTGAGTTTGAGTCAAGTTTTTATGATTTCAAGTCCTTCCTCAAGTCACTTAAAAAAGGTTTGTGTTCAGTCCAAACTTTTCACATCTAAGTCCTAGTCACAGAAAAATGTTTTTCTCCATTCTTTACCTTCCACGTCACTGATGAAAACTGTAGGGTTTAGTGTCAGTAATCAGATCTCAGGTCCAAGTCAGATTACAGGTCTGTATCCCAGTCCCAGTCTTTATATAGACCGTTTCTAAATGTAATCTACAATCTTGAAAACAGCCGTTGCCACAGTTAAGGCTGTGATTTTAACGTCTTCTAAATTTCCAGCGACTTCCACCTCAGTCTGTCAACACCTCTGTGGAAACACTCGCTCCTTCTCTCGTTCACTGCATGCTAATACTCTTAGCAATGGCAGCACAAGACCGCCACCTACTGTCGGACGGCATTGACAGCACTCACTCTGTGTTCAGGGTCATTTCATGAGCATTCCTCTCCAGTTTTGTGAAAGTCCAAACTCGGAGGAGATGAGCAGCTGCTCCCATTTTCTCCTTTTTATCATGTTTTGGAAACTGACCCGTTAACTGAGAGCAGAGCTGGGATCTTTTTTTCTTTTTTTCTTTTTTCCTTTTTTTTTTTGAGTCGTTGACTGAGGCCTGAGTGAGTCGTTGGTTCAGAGTGGAAGTGTTTTTGTTTGGTTAAACTCGCTCACACTCTGGGCCATGTCCAGCAGTATGACAACACCATCTCCCAGGGTTAGAGGATGGAGAGCGGCAGAGGAATGATGGTGGGCTGAAACCCAATCTCTGTTGGCAGCCGTCGCTCCAGTATTGTTTTAAGAGGTGTTGGCTTGTGTTTTGGGGAAATTATTTTCTGCTGTTGGAAATTTAGGATTTTTGACTAACACCTGGACCTGATCTGGATGCCCATTCTTTGACCTTTGACATAGTTTTGGTTCCTTATGCTAAATGTTCCAGGTCTGTACTGATGGTGATGTTTGTGTCTATAGAGTTTATGTCTGTATTACTGAATTAATTGTGTCATAACTTTAGACAATTTAAAATAGTCATAATTCAAATTGTAATGCTAAGCTAATTAAATTCATTTGATATATTATTTTTCATGCAGAAAACATAACAAGTGAGGAGGAAACTGAAAAACAAACAACAAACAAATCTTCTTTTATCCAGTTAGCAACCGTGGGTCGTATAGGTTCAACATTTTACCTGTCTTAGTGGAAAATAAATATGGAATAAATACTGTGTTTATAGCGTCACCTACAGGATAGAGGAGAGCTGCATGCTGTTTGTTCAGGAATGATTGTCCAGTGGCGCCCCCTAGAATTCATTCACAGCGCTAACCAGATATGGTCAACAAAAATCCAAAGGCTCTAACCAGGAAAGTCTTTGGATTTTGCTTTTGTATTTTAGCGCGCTCAGAATATTATTACAAGTCCAATGCAACACCACTGTGCATGATCCTACTGTTGGTCAATGTAGTTTAAAATGAAATCAATCTATCTTTGACCTGATATATATGGATATATTTTGTTTGTTCTTAGATAAAGATAACAGGAATTGTGCAGTCATCACATACATTTTTTACAGTTTATCATTTTAAAAAAATGAATTAATTTTTATAAAACATTTTACTCACTATAAATACCTCTTGTTATTACATCATGGACAGAACTGGAAGTACTGGCATAACCAGGTCCCAGGATCCAAGAATTTAAACCCGACTTCCGTCGTTTTAGTCACTAACCGAATGAAAGACGTAGTTTTATGTGAGGCAGAATCCTTCTCCTGTTCAGCTTCTTTCGAGGTGCCTTCACAGGTAGTGGACAGGAGGAAGTGAGGCTGAGCCGAGAGCAGGAACATCTGCTTTCTGTTTGCCCACATGACCTCCTTCCTGCAGCATTCCTCTGTGCTCCCACTGCCTTTGTGCGCCTGCACTCCAGTGCTGGTTGGCACGAGGAGAGGTTCTGTTAGTCATGGTGGTGCGCTGTCACTCAGCAAACGCCATCAATACACAAGTGTCATCAGTGATGAAGGGCTCTCCACATCATGTTTTTCCTCTCTCTCTCTCCTTCCTCTCTGCCTACGACCGCTGCACGCTGCTTTTCTGTTGTCAATCGATTTCCGCGCTCCATCAGTAAACATGCGCTTTGTGTCGCAGTGAGAGCATTCCTGGCTCCGGCTTTGAAGACTCTTTTGGAGGAGGAAGATGCTGCGGTCATAGCGTTTATAATGTTTGTATTCAGGTTTACTGACTAAAAGTCAGCTAATGAGGCATGAGAAGAGAACGACCGCAGCTAACATCCTGATTGATGATTATTTACAACAACAAGACAACAAGAGATTCTCTGGGCTTTTCACGTTGGATCCCATTCAATATCAAGTTGTACAAGGTTGTCTTCAGACAAAAAAGACACTCTTCAAATACCACTTGTGAAGAACGCTGTTCAACTAACTCATCAGCAGAGCCTGGAACAACTGCTGTGTTCCACAACAACTTGTTTATCGAAAGTATCCTGGATATCATTTATGCCCACAGGAGGGCACCATCTACACCAGGGACAACTGAATGCACTACTGCACCACTGAAAAATGACCTGACTGACTATAAAGACTTCCTTTAAAAAGATCAAAATCTTTGATCGATAAAAAACGGACACGACGGAACGGATGTTGACAAAAAGTCCGACAGCAGCCGAGCAGAGGAAGAGATGACGTCCAGTCTTCCTACGCAGTTAGCTTAATTTTTGAGAAGCGACACAAAAGAGGTGGATTGAGTGATGAGGAAATTTTTGAGAAGCGACACAAAAGAGGTGTATTGAGTGATGAGGAATAAGTCTTAGCCTGTCATGTAAATATATTTAGCTTACATTCTTCAAGCTACTGTGTAAATGAATATATAAACATTAAATGTTCATTCTGAGATTCTTGCGAAGTAAATGTTTCAAAATGAAATGCGACTAATATTCCGGGCCAACGTACCGTAGTTTCACTCAGGAGTATAAGTCGCACGAGCCAAAACATTCACAATGAAGAAGAAAAAAAACCGGATCAGGAGTATAAGTCGCACGAGCCAAAAAATTCACAATGAAGAAGAAAAAAACCATATAAAAGTCGCTCCGGCGTATAGGTCGCACCAGTGCCCCCTAGCGGCTGTCAGCATGAAAATAACAAACAAATGTACATTTTCAGTGGTACAAGAGTAGCAGATACTAGTACACAAGCCTAGAGTGCCCTCTAGCGGCTGTCAGTGTAAAAAATACCAATAATGTGAAATGATATACTTTAATATATAAGTTGCACCTGAGTATAAGTCGCAGACCCAGCCAATGGATGAAAAAAAGTGCGACTCCAGAAATACGGAACATTTTGATAAATACAGTAGTAACTCTGGTTCCGAGGGACCTGACGGAGGTCCGATGGTCAGCAGCTCACCAGGGAGGTGGGGGGAGTTGAGTTTGTGTTTTGGGGGTGGTTGTGTCGGGGGCAAGCTTGTCTCTCTGCGATCACATCAGCTCTCGGCTGAGCTCTTAATGCGACCCTGACGCCTCACTGGCGCAGGGACCATGCTGCCCCACATCTGGAGCCAATTACCCTGAAGGGGCTGTGACAGAGTCCCCCTCCACCTCCACCTCCACCTCCACCTCCACCTCCACCTCCACCTCCACCACTCCACATGCTCTGCTTTACTGTCCAACACTGCTGCGACCGCTCTCACACTTACATTCCTCCAGTTTTAACATCACGTCTCTTTACTTTTTTCAAACTCACTTTTCCTTTCCTTTCTTCCGCCGCCTCATTCATCCACAGTTTAGAGGAAAATGAAGGAAAAAGTCCCACAGTAACAACACGTGTGGACCAGAGGCAGTGAAAATGTAAAAACATTGTTTCTTGTTGGAGTTTTGCTGAACGCTTGTGTTACACGCTCCAATTTCCAATTTGCTCTAATCAAGAGAAAAAGTGGATCAAACCGCCTGCAGCAGGTTCTGGAGCTGGCTATAAATGATAATCACTGAGGCGACGTCCTTGACCTTGACCGTGGTTCCTGAGTCCGTCTAACACGCAGTGATTTCATGTTAAATTATACCCAGATTTTCATGAGTACCTGAAACTTTTTGGACATTTTACACAAAGCGTACAGTGTAACAGGGTCGCCAATCAACTTTGTTTAAACACTGTTGCCTTTGTGATGATTTATATTATATTTAGAGACAATGTGGAAAAACCTCCAGGGCCATTTCATCAAATAATCGTAGCATTCTGTTGACTCTGTCTTTCATTCAAATATCCTCTGAGCCACTTTTAAGCCATTTGTTTGTTTCTATAGTTTATACCTTTAAAATTTAAACGCCAGTTTTGACATCATTTTTTATCCATTATTTATACTTGTTTATTTTTTCAATATGTTTTAGTTATTTCCAATATATATTTTTTGTGTTTCAGTGTTAGCTTGAAGCTATCTTTGGGCTAATGCTATTTCTTAATGAATCTATATTTAGCTACATTTCAGTTAACCTTTACTCAACTCATTATATTTCTTAGGGTTTTTTTTACTTACGTTTGGCTAATTTCGCCATATTGTTTGGATGGCTTTATGTTAACATAAAGATAATTCTTACTCCCAATTCTTCTTATTCTTGGCTTATCGTAAGCTATTTCAGGAAACTTTCTTTTTACTATATATTCTGACCAACGTTTTGCTCGGGTCTTATCTTTAGTTATCCTCTCGCTGTTTTGTTTGCTAGCTACTTGGCTAAATTATAAATATATATAAAAATTGGTAATATATATACATACACGTTTGTATATGTATGCTTACATACATATATGTACATGAATATTTATGTATGTATATGTGCGTATATATTGTAAATTAGTTTATATATGTATATAGACACAGTATATATACTATATATATATATATTATATATATGTTATACAGTACATGTACTTCAGAAAATCCCTTGAAAATACTACATACATCCAAACATGACCTAAAACCATTTGGCCCTGGCATCAGCATCTCGGTTGTGAAACAGTTCCATTTAAATGCTGTTTCCTGTGGTAGAGCACCGGCCGTAAACACCGTTCATGAATAAAGCTTGTTTAGCACCACATCAGCTTTTACAGGTGTGATTTATGGGCCGCTCTGGCCTCCGCACAGGAGAGGCCTTGAAAAACGTGTGAAAGTGCCGTAAAACTGTGTGTTATGTTTCCCACTGTAACGTGAAGGTATCTTACGACTTTCTGAGGTCGCGATAAGGGCTAGTCTTAGCTTGGACTGCATGACTGATGGGTGTAATTGAATTTGTGGTGGTGCAGGAAGTTTGGTGAGCACTTACAGTATATCAGACCTGGAGGATTTCTCTCACCGGGGTCAAAAGTTTTGGGAACGGCTTCACCATTTTTCTTTATTCCCCAACGTCGTGTTTGGCACCAACGCTATGGTTCATTAGCTGCAGCTATAGGGTGTACCTGGGCCGGCCGCCAGAGGGTTAGGCTGCTCTGGGTTACATGCACATAAATTGGAGTGTAGACGGTGAAGTGAATGTGAAAACTCTACAGGTGGCTGAACTGAAGTCGTATCAAGTCTACTACTGAAATATGGGAAGCTTTTGGTTCACTGGGTTTAATAAAAACTCTGGCATGACGTGGAGATACGTCAGCTGTGCAGTACGTGTGTATATGTCAGCGAATATCTGGGACTCATGAACTTGTCTGTTTGTATGTACACTTACCCACGAGTGTGAAGTCTCACTTCAGTGTCCGTTATAGACTTTAACACCTCCCATGGGAGGTTGATGGGAATAAGAAAGGGGGAGTGAGGGGGGAGGGGGGGTGGGGGGTGAAGGGCCAAAGAGCCATGGATTTGATGGACAGAGAGAGAATCAGAGACGAACCGCCAGCAGAACAAAGAAACAGAACAAATCATCCCAGACCGTAAATGTGTCAGCTCCGGCTCCAGCCTGAAACAAGACACAGAGAAAGTAAAATATACAGATTTTTCTTTGATAGTTTTATCATCATTAGAGTGAAAGCAAGCCAAAAAAAAAAAAAAAAAAAACGGGAGCCGTCGATCGTTACAAGCAGAAAAGCGGTGCTACGCTGCCCTCTGCTGGACTATTAAGGTTAATATATGACTTCGTCTTTATTAGGCCAGAATACTGAAGCACCGTGGAGAAAACCAGTGGATGTAAACACAGGGAGAAAATGTCAACTTTACAGAGAGGGCCGAGAATCAAACCAGTGATCTATGACTGTAAGGCAGGAGATCTGCTCCACTCCTCCACTGTGTGGCCTTCTCTAAAATATTTTGATCCCTTAACTGTGTGTGCAGGAAAGTGAACACAATGTGTTTACCGGTGTTTTTCAGGTTTATTTGGACACACATTTCTAATAATAACCAAAACTACACACAGCACTTGGGCTGCAGCGCCTCCTTGTGTATGTCAGGACTTGATGTGACTTCAACTCAGACAGAAACAGACCACTGGTGTGATAAACATGAACATATCATTGAAACAAAAACTATAATTTTTTTGACAGCATGTCATGCATGGAACTCATTTTCTTTATTTTTAATAATATTTTTAATATTTTGTTGTTGTTAAAGATTAATTCCAGAGTTTTTAAGACCGTGAGTGTCTTCATCAAGATGATGGTCATGTGATGAATCACCTCAGAGAAGGCATTGGATTAACTCCAGCCCACATTCTACCAGCTCTTTTTTGTTTGTTGTCTTGATGCTGTTAACTTGGCAGAAAACGACTGACAAACTACTGACCGTTTTCCTGGTGGCGTCATGTTTCCTGCTCAACCATTCAGCCATGACAGTTTTTATCATTCCTGAATATTATGCAAAGCTGCATGTTTAAGCTGCCAGTATGCAGATGTTTTGGAACTGTGTCGCTGTTGTTAATAATGACTGTGTTATTTTCATAGCAGCCTTAAACCAACTATACTGAAGGGTCTATATACGAGCCTTAAACCAACTATACTGAAGGGTCCATACATTTTGTTTTTGTCATTTATTTTTTGTTGTTGTTCTGTTGGATTTTGACCTTAACAGGGCTGAAAAGAAGTTTAAAAAATAAAGGACAATATGACTTGGCTGTTAATCCACTTTCTGTTCCTTTTACTAGCATCACAACCTCTTTCGGCTCAGCAAGGTCATGTCTGAAAGGTTGTTTACAAGACAGCCTGTATCCCTGGGATGTGTAAGATCTGGGACCTGGGCTTTTTATTTATACCAGCTGGAGCAGAGGGATGTGGAGCGCTGACATATGGCAGAGTGGGGTCAGAGGTCAAGTCTAACACCAATAAAGTGGAGACTTTGATCATGGCATTTATGGATGTAGTCGGCACAAGGCTTTCAGTGAAAGAGAAAGGGGAAAAAGAGAGAGTTACAAAGGAGGGAGGGCTGGGGGTGAGGAGTAGTAAAACATAAGGGGGGGGATGTTGACAGAGTTTCGTATCTACTTCACTTGGGCAAATATTTAGAGTAGACATTATAGAGATGGATGATGTTTTTGAGATTTTGCTGTTAACAAATGAATCCAACAAGTAGGAAAGAAGGAAAGAAAGAAAGAAGAAAGGTAAAAAAAGAAAGAAAGATAAAAAAAAGGTAAAAAACGAAATAAGAAAGAAAGAAAAAAAAAAAGAAAGGTAAAAAACGAAAGAAAAAAAGTTATGTTCTCCATAACCGCCACTAGATGGAGTTAAAGTGTACGCGCAGTGAGCAGTTTAAAGGTGCACGCGAACACCTTTATTGAACAGTGTTGCGTCATGGGTAATGCAGTCCCCGAGCGCTTAGGCGCAAACTGTGACCACGTGACTCTGTTTTCGTGCATGTGTGTTGGCCTGAGTTATGCGGAACTCGTTGACGGCGTGTGTCACTGTTGTGGCTTCTTCCTCCCGTTTACTGAAACTTCTCACACACTCACAGCTCGTTCTTGTAAAGCTGACAGCAGCCGTGAGTATGTGTGTGAGTGTGTGTGTGTGTGTGTGAGAGAGAGAGAGACAGAGAGAGAGAGAGAGAGGCGGCAGCGGAGGTGCAACCAGTTTTTGAAACAAAATGGATTTAACTATGCGGGGAAATAGACGTATACGTGTGTTTTAACTGTCGTCAACGTCACTGAGACGTAACGACTTGTAGTTTTTGCTTTGCTATTTTTTTTAAAAAAAACAACGTTTTTTTAAAGCCTTCCCGTTCATCAAGTGCCTGACACTTTTCACCACAGGCTTCAGTTTAAAATGAAATTTAACGGTTACCTAAAGCTTCGTATCGGTGAGGCGGTGGAGCTGAAGCCCACCACCTTCTCCCTCCGCCACAGTGTCATCTTCAACAAAGCTCATCCAACTCTGGACCCTTACATCGTGGTGAAGGTGGACGACTACAAGATAGGACAGACTCACACCAAGCAGAAGACCAACACGCCGACCTACAACGAGGAGTTCTGTTTGAATGTCAACAACGGGACGCATATAGAACTGACCGTCTTCCACGACACCCCCATTGGCTACGACGACTTCGTGGCCAACTGCACCATCCAGTTCCAGGACCTCATCAAGACCTCCAACTCTGGAGAGGTCTTCGAAGGATGGGTGAGTAAACAGTGACAGTGTGTTCAGATCCACCAAAAGTGCTGCCTGCATCAGTTTACAAATGTTGGGTCGTGTCCAACACATGGGACGTGAGATGATTGTTGTGGGTAACAATTGTATATGAATTATTACAGAGAAGAAAAACCTGTTTGTTTTGAAGACCTAAGGTTATGTATGAGTAGACGTACAGCAGTGCAGCAGTCTGTAGACTGGTACAGACCAATTGTTTTGCTAGCTGCCTCCATTATTTTTGTTTGTTTGTTTGTTTCGTCAACAAAATAATCATATCTTATCAACAATCATGCAGTGTTTTCTCAGAATTCTTAAATGCTGCCTGCTGTATTGACTTTCTCCAGTGTTTGCACAGACACTGGGAAAGTAGCATTCCATGTTTGTGTTCCTTCAGACTGGAACTGTTCACAGAGCTCCTGTGAATCCAAAGCCTGGTCTCGTAATCATATTTGTATGATTGTGTTCACTTGTAGCTTCTTCTAAAAACGTGGTCGAGTTCGTACTTTGTTTTATGTCATAAGTAAAAGAATGAAAATGGAGAACTTTACAGTCATTTTGACAGAACATAAGAACTAAGCCTGACTTAGTTCCAGGGAATGTGGTGTCATCAGTGATGTCATTGTCTTTAGATGAACTCACCATAGAAGTTGTCCTATTAGGTGCATGGACATATTGTTCAAATTATACAGTTTCACAGTCAGGACTGTCATTGTGAATGTAGACTATATTTACTGGTTAATAACCCACGGACAGTCTGTCATTGTGAATGTAGACTATATTTACTATACTATTACTATATACTACTACTATATTTAACCCACGGACAGTCTGTCGTTGGTACCTGGACATCGTTGCACAATTTCAATAAATCAGATTTAGCAAAGAAAGTTGCCCCCCCCCCACACACACACACACACACACACACATAAAGTGCCCACATTTAGGTTGGAGTAAAGGGCCGATGGTCTTTTTCAAAACAAATGTTTGTCAAAGTCAACACATATGGACTTGTTACTTGTTGGGTTGGTCCAAAAAAAAATGCAAACAATTCAAACACCTCAGATGTTTCACTCTGTCCACGAGCCAATCGGATTCAGTCAGACTGTCTCAGAGGAGACGAAAAGAAGAACATGTTCTCAGTTCAGAACATGAAATAAGACTCTTTTTTTTTTTTTTTCACGTGCAACTTTTACTGGTCAACTGCCAAAAATATTTGTTCACTTATTTGGAGAACAAATATACTTTTTTAATGATATATTGATGTATCTAAATTGACAACATTTTATTCTTCCGTTTTTATTTTGATGAATTGTTATCAAGCTATAAATACAACTAAAGGACATATATGTCACAGTCCTGGACTATAACTAGTAAAAATATTGACGAGTTATTGATCATAATTTTTTAACACAGTGGTTTCATCGTTTTCAAGTCAATTCAATCAGTTATTATTTAGTTTGACCAGAAATATCTTACTGTTAATGACCTCGGGCATGACAAAGACAAAAATCCATAGGTTTGGACACAGATTTGACCCCGTCTCTGACTAAACTGTGGGTGGTGACACAGTTCCAGAACCTTCCCTCACTGAAGCGATTAAAGGAAAAAGGAACTGAGAGTCTCTTTAAAGTCGCCACACAAATTTGACACACAAAAAAAAAAAAGAAAAGGAAAAAAAAAAACTGGACCAGAAGACTCAGATTAAATTAAATTTCACCTTTGTTATCGAATCAGTCTTCAGTCTGTGTTCAGTCATGGAGAACAACTGGCCACTGGTTCACACTGGGCTTTCCCTCTTCTCACTTACTTTGAACCCACTGTGACTTAAAGCTGCTGCTGCTGCTGCTGCTGCAAGTTTTTTGCTTAACTTAAAACACGCACACACACACACATACACACACACACAGTCCTCTTATACAATAGTTATGTCTTCTATGAAATTCCTTTCGAGTCTTTCACACTTTCCTGCTTCTTTTGAACTGATGTGTCATAATAACATTAACTCAACAGCAACACTAGAACGGTCAGAACCACCTTTATACTGTATCTATATGTATGTGCATGTGTTGTATATATGTATATATATGTATGTGTATACAGTATATTGTACATATATGTATATATATGTATGTGTATACAGTATATTGTGCATATATGTACTGTATATATATACAATACATTTATATATATTTATATGTATGTATACAGAGAGGTCATTTACTGTATGTTACTATTTGAACACCACCACCTCTTAATCTGATTTAATTTCATCTCATATCAATATTATCTGCGTCTCAATCCCTTCATAATCTCAATCTGATCTCGTCTCTCCTCACCTCATCTCATCACAATCTCATCCGTCCCAATTCAAACCAAACCTTCCACGGGCCATGATGGTAGCTGTAACAGACACCAAATGCATTAACGGTTCTGTAACCACTTTGCACTGGAGTATGACATGAAGAATGTATTAATGTTGGTCTCAGCAGAAAGTAGGAGAGCCATTCCTAGAAGATACGGTGGATGTTTCAGTTTCCTCACGTCCTTGTGTTCCTGACTTATCGTGTACAGTAGAGGCCAATAAAATCCAGTAAAATATACGAACACCCAGTACCACAGAAGTCTAGTTGGTTTGTGGTCGTAAGGTTTTTTTTTTTTAAGAAAATCATAACCTAATAATTGTCACAGTCAGTTGTTATGTGCTCCATCTGAACTGCAGAGGGTTTTGTCTTTGTTCATTGCTGCACAGAAGTGTTAGAAAAGCTGGTTTCACATATGAGGCACAAGCCTCTACACGCCCACGCGGTTGGTTATCTCACCCTGTTCCCACCGTGAAGCAGTGCTCAAGGGCTCGCTGTTAAACTGGCAGCCCTCACTGGTTCTCACCAGCGTCGTTCACCTCAGTGTCTGGTCCAGGCAGTAAAACCTAGACACAAGGCTGCATGTCGTTGCTGTCGTTGCCTGAGATGCAGCTTCAGCAGCAAATGTTGCTCATCCTCCAGCCAGTGACATCATCTATCTGAGGCGGTGATCATGTGACATTTGACACTCTGCCTCCTACTTAACACTGCGGTGTGACATCTCTTTACTCATTTGTTTCGACATTTCCGAGCTGTATTTAGCGTGTGGGTATTTCTGTCTGATTGAACTTTAGCTGAAGACGGCTTTCACTCAAGTGAAAATATGGCGCCGCACCTGGAACTGCTGGGAAAAAGAATTCCATTCCTCACATTATTAAAAAAAAAGAAAAACTGCAAACCTCCCTCAGGGGCACAGATAGGAGTTTTGAGGAGGGGCAAGCTGTTAGCCAACTGTGTGTGGGCAAACTGTCAGAAATACCACAATAACATAACAATTTTAACAGATACACACACACACACACACATATATATATACATATGTCTATATATATATACATTTGTATATATATATAGACATATGTATATATATATACATATATATGTTAACATATACAGTATGTGTATATATATACAGTACATACTGTATGTGTATGTTTACATATATGTATATTTATGTATGTTTACATATATGTGTATATTTCTCTCTATAATTTAGTTTTATTTATTATTTTATTTATATATTTGTGTATTTTCTATTTTTATATTGTTGTTGGATAGTTGGGGTGTTTTTTTTTTTGTAGATACCTCTGTGCTTAAGTAAAGATGCCAACATTTGTGTACAACTTGAACGCACCATTAGCAGTAGCACAAGAACGGAACATTACTCCTCTGTTTTACCAGCGATGTTTGTCGTCTTATGTAGGGGCGATGTGGTGGGGGGTGGTCTTAGTGGGGGGCTCACGCTGAATCTGAGTGGGTCATGCCCACCTGTCAGATTTCAGGTCGTCTACTGTAGAACAGGGTCCAATCAAAAACTAAATGTAAAGAGATGACGTAGACTGGTGGAAAGCCGACCTTTTATAGGCACCATTTACAAGTAGTTGTTTCCAAAACTTTGGAACATTTAATTTGCAACTTTTAGTAAGTCCTTTTTTGACTTGCTCAGTGTTACTTCCTCCCTGTGCATCACATGTAGAATGACATGGCTACGTCCACTTCTATGATAAAGTCTATGGGTAGAAATAAGGGAAAAAAAACTTCAAAAGCTCTTAAATGTAAACTACATTACAGATGAATGTTGGTGAGACAAAGTACTGTTGTCTGTCTCTCTTGAGCGGGTCGTTCTTATTTTGAGCCACCACTGACCTAAGTTTCCACTCAGCAGCTGCTACAGGAAGTGTGTCGGCTTTGTAAAAAAATGCATCAAGTACTTGTATGTTACCGTCATTTTCGACTAAACATCAGGGCAGCTCAGCCTCAGCAACCAGCACAACCTGCCCGACCTGCTGTGTTGTCTGTCTGTCTCTACGACCAAATTCCTCACACGTTACATTTGCACCAAAGAATTCCAAAATATGTAGTGTACGTATCTGCATCGCTAGGAGGGAACGATGCTCAGAAGCCAAGAGATAACAGACCATTGACCTTTAAACCAGTTTAAGGGTAAACTATGACAAGTTCTCGAACTCATTTATAATAATAAATATTTTAAATTCCCAGTCTGTCTCTTCTGTTTCCATTCAAGTCAGTTTTATTCGTACACCAAACACATTTGTTTCAGAACTAAAATGAAAACGATTCTACTAAAAACACATGAGAATTTTTACACTAAGAATTAAAACATTATATTTTACCAAAGTTAATCACAGCATTTTTGGCAGCGACAGGCAGACGAAACTCTCTTTTGACAGGAGGAAATCTCCAGCAGACCCAGGATCAGTGTTGCCATCTGCTTTGGCAAAGAGAGAAGGGGGCGGGCATGGGGGTACAACACTACAGTCATCTTCATGTGTACAAAAGCAGAAGTTAAGAAAATGTCTGTGTTCTGTGTTTGCAGATGGACTTAGAGCCTGAAGGCAAGGTCTACGTCCTGATTACACTGTCTGGATCCTTCACTGATGGTAAGCCTCAGCGCTGTCCAAGCTCCAGCTGCAGCTGCAACTGCAGCTAAATGAAGCTCAGTCATTTTTCTCATTCCATTATCATCACTGTTATCACCTCATGCCTACATGGATTTCCTCAGTTGTTACACTTCATCGTCTGTCAAGTTCTGCACAATGACTTTAATGGTTACTTTCTAATTGTGTGCTACACTAGCCAACAACTTCCTGTTTTCAGTCAGTCCAAACGCTTCACTTCAGTTGGACTTCCTGAGCATAGTTCTAGTCACTCACTCGGAGCAGACGCGATCGTTAACTAGGGCTTCATCAAAAGGAAACCTCTGAGGCTGGGTGTGGCCCAGGCCAATCACAAAGGAGAAGGAACGTCACAATGAGCTCATTGGAGGTTGAACTTTAAACTAAAATTAAACATGAGACAGAGGTAAACAATAGGGATGTGTCAAAGTAGATTTTAAGATTCCTGTGTTGTGCCTACCATACAGAATAAAAAAACAGTTCTGATGTGAACCCTAGATGAAAGGATGAGGCCGGGTGTTAAGGCAGATAAAAAAAATTTGATTTTGGTTCCACCACAACCATGACGTTTTCTTGTAACCCTTCCTTGCCTGATGTCTTTGTTGTGATCAAGTTATTGTTAGTTGTAAAGACTGATCATCGGTTCCGTCAGCTCTTGGTGAAATGCTCGTTTCTCAAGTGACTCTTTCAATCTTGGTTTTGTGACACCTTCGTTCTTCAGAACGGACGGCACGTGGATTCTCTGCTCGTGTAGCTGCTCCAGCGTTACATAAGTGGAATTCCACTGTCAGTTTGAAGTTCTGCTTTTAATGCACAGCTCAGACTGCTTTTCTTTTAAAGGGACTTTTGACAGAGACAGGTGGCTTGTTGAGCACTTGTGTAAAATTTCCTTCCAGTAATTTTATGAAGTGATTATGACTAATAGTTAAAGACGGCCCTGTGTGTCCTCATCCTGGCTCAGCCTAATGTTGAACTCTGAAACTGGATGAAATGCCTGTGGTGAAGGTTCAGACCAGGGCTGTCAAAGTTACACACAACTCACAGCATGTACAATAATTTTATTACAGCTGTAATTGTAATCGTGACTCATTTAAAAAGTAGCCACTCTAAAACCTGTTTAATTAAAGGCTTCGTTAATCAGCATCTGTAGCTGCACGCAGAGATGCCGATTAGCTCCTGTGTAACTGTACCAGACTGGTCCAGTAATGAGGATCTGAAGTCGCTCCATCAGGAGCTGAACCTGCAGGTTTGTAGAAGCAGAAGTTTACTGTATCTTACTCTGTCCACTTCTCCATTTTTCTTCTCAGTTCTCATCGTGCCTCCACCACCGGTGCCAGCTTCACCACACTTCATAAAACACTCGTGTTCTATTCACACAGATATTGAGTAGATCAAATCTAACACGATCATCCCCGTCCCTCGCTGTCCCAATGTGAGAGGGAAAGTTAGGTTAGCCTTTGTGTTGCTGTTGGTGGTTCAGAGACACTCTGCCTTTATAGTTTTAATAGTTTGTTCAGAATTAAATCAGTGATCCTAAATCTAAATCTAGATGATTCCATGAACCTAAAATCTCCTCATTAGTTCTGTCCAGAATAACATTATCTTTTTATTGCCTTTCTCCTCGTTTTGTTTTCAGATGATGCCGTGGTCAAGGAGAAGAACCACAAGCAGTTCACCAGGCAACGGCAGGGAGCAGTGCGGCGGAGGATCCACCAGGTCAACGGACACAAATTCATGTCCACGTACCTTCGCCAGCCAACCTTCTGTTTCCACTGCAAAGAGTTTATCTGGTGAGGAGAACGCAGCACGTCTGCCTGCATGTGTCTGTGTTGACTATAAACCCAACGTGACTGTGTCTCTGTCTTTGTCGTAGGGGTGTTTTTGGAAAACAAGGTTACCAGTGTCAGGGTGAGTCGAGTTTTTTTATTATTATTTCTCTCTTCACTTTGATATAAACACTTGTTCTTATTTTGATGTAACATTTGCCTTTATCTCCCAGTTTGCACGTGTGTCGTTCACAAACGATGCCACCAGCAGGTGGTGACAGTTTGTCCACGGATGAAGAAGTCGGTAAAAGAGCAGGTAATGATAAATCTACTGAATGTACTGTATTTTCTGTGCTATAAGTTTTTTTCATCCTTTGGCCGGGCTTGTGACTTATACTCAGGTGTGACACTTATATATATATATATAATTTCACGTTTGTCTTTTTCACACTGACAGCCGCTAGAGGGCACTCTAGGCTTGTGTACCTGTATCTGCTACTCCTGTACCACTGAAAATTTACGTTTTCTATTTTTACACTGACAGCCGCAAGAGGGCACTGGTGTGACTTATACTCGAGACAGACTTATAGTCCAGAATGACTTATATATGTTTTTTTCTTTTTCATTGTGCATTTGGTGCGACTTATAGTCCGTAAAATCTGATCTAATTTCATGCTCACACTCTCAACATGAACTGCTTCAGACCACGTGTGTGTGTCCACGATATTCCAGTTAACTCTGAGCAGAGCAGTCTGTGGCTTCAGACTTATAGAACTGAGTTGCTAAACTTTTTATCTGGCTTTGGTCTGTGTGATGATAAAACGGCACAGTTTCCTCTTTTCTGTTGAAGAGAACATTGAACCAGAACGGTGCGTATTTATAGTCCCCACTCATGTTCTTCATCTGCAGCTATAAATGTTCATCTACTTGTCTTAGCGCTTTACTTTCTTTTTTTATATATATAATTTTCCACTTTGTGGAAAGTTGTTTTCAGTGTAGTCACACACTCTCACACTGTTGCAATGAAGTGTGGTTAGTCTACAGCCTGTCTTCTGTCTGCAGCCTGAAACACAAGGCTTCAGCATCAACCTCCCACACAAGTTCAACATCCACAACTACAAGTCGCCCACATTCTGTGACCACTGTGGTTCCCTGCTGTGGGGCCTAGTCAGACAGGGGCTGCACTGCAAAAGTAAGACGTGAACTTATCAGATTTCAAATCAGCACAACAGATATAATTTACACCCTCCTTCTTTTCTTTTTTCATTTTCTCTGACTTCACAGTCTGTAAAATGAATGTCCACATCCGCTGCAAAGGCAATGTTGCACCAAGCTGTGGTGTGAACAGCGTGGAACTGGCCAACACACTGGCAGAGATGGGTCTCCAGGCTGGAGGACTCGCAAAACGCAATACATTGGTGTGTAAGCATGTTTTAAACACAGCATTGCTCAAGCACCATGACACATGAAGAAAGAATACGTTTTTCACAGAATTTTTCTTTCCAAAAAAAATTACAAAATTTGGCTTTTTTAGAACTTTCTAGTTCAATGAGTTGTAAAGCAAGTTTATGTTTATGTATATATGTACAGTATGAGTATGTGTATGTATATACTGTATGTGTATATTTGTTTGTGTATATATGTGTGTATGTATGTATATTTAATTAATTTAATTATTTATTTTTTACTAATTTATTTGTTTGTATTCATGTCAACACTTATATAAATATAGTATAATGTATGTGAATGTATGTTTACACTTAAAAACACATACAGTATGTACATGTATGTGTACAGATATGCTGTATTTATATTCGTTTTGTAATCAGCCCACCAAACTTTTCCAAATTATATCATTTATTTATATTATCGTAATACTTATGCCTTTTCCCTGCAATACCCACGTTTCCCCAATAGATGGCGAAGTAAATGATAAAATAATTTTCGCCTTTATGCATAACTTTTACATGTCATTTATCTTAGTTCACACTAACGCTCCATCTCTCTGCTCATGACCCCCCCACATCCCCCACCCCGACCCGACCCCCGTTCAGTTTTAGGAACTGTGGTCCTCAAGTAAAAAAGTTTGCCCCCCGCTGGTGTAGTGAGTGTAGTGACTAATATTATCAGTTTCTTAAGTGTCATTTTTTCTTCTTGTCTTTTTTGCACTGAAAGACCAAAAGTCAGGTGAGGAGGTCTTCTGAGAGGACGGCCAACATAGAACCTCAGCAGCAGCAGACCCCTCGACTGGGCATCTCAGACTTCACCTTCCTTCAAGTGCTGGGCAAGGGCAGCTTTGGCAAGGTGAGAACAACAGGAGTGAAAATGACGGTCCGTGATGAAATGAAGACGAATGGAAGCAGTAGAACGGAAAACAGTGGTGATTACTGATTACTGATCCCGAGTACTTTCTCTTGTACTGTACCTGTAGGTGATGCTGGCCAGACTGGACGTCAAAGACCTTGTCTTTGCCGTCAAGGTGTTGAAGAAGGACATCATTCTGCAGGACGATGATGTGGAGTGTACCATGACAGAGAAGAGAGTGCTGACGCTGGCTCGCTGTCACCCCTACCTCACACAGTTGTACTGCTGTTTCCAGACCATAGTAAGTACTGATACTGTACATGTACACAGTGTGTGTCAAAACTCCAGACAGATGTGATAGTGAATGGTAGATATTTTTTTGATTCTTGTTTTGAATGATCAGTATTCATGTATCTATCAGTGTTTGGTTTAACATTTAATATAAATTAAATAATTTCGTTTAATTCATCCCAAACTGGGAACATTTTCCTGTTGCAGCAACAACAGAACAGACTGTACAATAAAACAATGTCTGAATAAAGTGAACGACATTTGTCTTAGCCGACAAAATGTCGTCTCACTTCTACATGGTGCAGTGGGCCATTTGCACTTTTATTTTTAGAATGGTTTGCAAAGAGCGTTTCACAAGAAGAGGCAGGTGTGAAAAATGCAGAGTTAGTAGCGTCTCTTCGCGCTGACCGATAGGTACACGATCCAGAGCACAACGGTTCCTGTTTCTGTTCCTTCTGTTGCCAATGTTAAGATTCATTAACATTTTTTACTGACATTTTACAACATTAGCTGATAAATATCAGTCATGTCATATTGTTTGTGATTAGCTGATAAATATCAGTCATGTCATTTTGTTTCTGTTTTTTTTTTTACTTTTTTCTACTTTCTGAGTTGAGTTTGCTCTATAAAAATACTGATACTTTAGATTATGACAAAAACTAGGAATTGCAACAGTTTATGTTATTGGCAGCGGTGTCTGAGTGGTTAAGGATTCAGACTTGGGTCTGGAATGTTTCAGGTTCGAGTCCACCAGCTGCCGAGTTCCCACCGTCCCCACACACTGCTGCCCACTGTTCACTTTGGTGATGGGTTAAAAACAGAGGTCACATTTGGTTGTGTGCTGTGTCACAGTGACAAGGAGTTCACTTTCCTTTCCTTATTTCCAAGTTTTAGTTGAAACATTTTAAAAGTGAAAGTAATCAAGTACTATTCAGAATCACTCAGCAGAACTAATCTACATCTTAACAAAGATGTTATAGTTATCTGTAGTAATAGGGCATTGTTTCCCAAAGACTGGGTCGCGACCCTCAGGTGGGTTTTTTTTTTTTTTTTTTTGGGTCATCTTGCATCATGTTAACCAGGAGTTTACGAATAATGTCTGTTGACTTGGGTCGCGAAGGTTTGTGACTTTTAAAATATGGGTCCCCAGAAAAACAGTTTTGGGAAACAAATGCTGAGGTCCACTTTGTCCTTGAACAGTAAAGGCCCGACGGCCGTTATTTTGGGTTAAGATTGTTAAATTTAGTTACTTTGAGTTAGACAAGGTCAACATTTTGTGTATGTCCCATTGACACCACAGAGATGTCCCATCAGGCCAGGCCTCTGTGACGTTGTTTAACGTTCGACCACGTTATACCTCGCGTTTTTGTTCTTTTAATAACTAAGTCTAGATTAGCTCCAATTTCTCGGGATTTACCAAAGGTGTTATAAGAGAAGTGGCCAGCAGGTGGCAGCAGTGCGCTAGGTCTAAATCTGACAGCCTGTGACTAGGTAAACGACGCTCGACCGGTATTCTCGGCGACTTTTAATCTGCTTTGGTTTTATTTGCCACTAAACCTCTTTATCTCGGATTACAATAGATTAGCAGTCGGTACAAGTGAAGATTTGACTTCAAGTTTCAAACTCTTTACCAAGCGATCGTGTTTATTGCTCTTTTCAGCTGAGGCGGAAGGTAGAATGTCTTCCTTTTCCTGTAAAGAAAAAAAAAACAACAACAGACAAACCCAGAAAGTCTGCTTGATTTTATGTGATTTTCTTTACTACAATTATTCTAAATTATAGTAAATGAGAGGATACGTCAAAAACCTCCAGGACAGGAGTCATAATTTTCTCTTTTTTCTTTTTATCAAGTGGTTTTAACCCTTAAAAAATGACCAGTTTTGTAAAACAGAGTAAACATCACATTTTTTTAATTTGATTAAATGGAAAACTGTTAAAACCTTTAATGCTAAGGAACATTTTTGACACCTGGCTACATCTGAATCAACATTTAAAAGGATCAGGTTGTGACCTGGTGCGATGCATGTTCACCAGAATCCTATCAAAAATCTGTTGTGAAGAATTGTTTAAACTTAAATTTCTTAAACTTTTTTTTAAATTTCCCTTCCTTTCTCAACTTTGGTCTCCACTCCTACGGTGGAGGGAGGACCCCATCGATCAAATGACCTGTCCTTCATCACAGCAGTTTGTCATTAGCTGCTCGCTCAAACCATAAATTAAATCTAATCTTGCGTAGCCAGACTCCCAGCTCGTAATCACACTGATGCTGTGTAAATGTTTGGAGGATGTCTTGCAGAACTTATCAGTCTCTGCTCAACTTTAGAAATCCCACAGGCGGCCAAGAAGTGTGCGGAGGTGAGGAAAGTCGTGCTAGCAAAAAGTCGTACGAGAAAGTTTCACTTCTTTGATCTCGAATGTGAATCTGAAAATCATTGTTTTGAGATTTTCCTTGATTTTTTCTTTTAGACCACCCAGAGAGAAATGTGAGAAGTGCACACCTTTGTTTATAAATGTGTAATCTCAGGTTAAACAAGCCAATCCCTATGAAACACAGGGCAGTGTTGACACTTGAGAAAGCTTTATGGACACATTTGTGCTTGACGCTGCAGTGTTTTCTCTCCAGGGTCTAATTTTCCAGATCATATATTGGCCAGTGCATGTAATGAGAAAAAAAGATTAATGGATTCGATTCTTTTTTTTTTCTTTTTTTTTTGCCTCAGTGACTTTAAACCGTAGTTAGTTGCGGAGTAATCTGTTACAGGGATGTGACGTATTTAAGATTTCAGTCACGTTTCATCCCTTAAGACACGGTCACGTCTGTGGCTCTTGGTGTGTTTAATAACACAGCAGTGGCCTACGTGCATCTTCACCATGTCGTATTCCTGCTTCTTTTTCAGGACCGTCTCTTCTTTGTGATGGAATTTGTGAATGGTGGCGATCTGATGTTCCACATCCAGAAGTCCAGGAAGTTTGAGGAGCCCAGAGCACGTTTCTACACGGCCGAGATCACATCTGCCCTCATGTTCCTGCACAGTAAAGGCATCATCTACAGGTCTGGGTCCAGAAACGCAAACAGCAAATGACAGTAAATCCACCGCCTTAAATAAGACACATGTAGATGAAGCTGACAGGAAACCACAAAAATAGACTGTGTAGTGTGTTACTGTGTGGTAGTTTTTACATGGTTAAACATGTTAACAGTTAGTTAGTCTCCAGTTCCAGATTAGTTCTTCATTATAACATGATTATAGATTTAAAAGACTAGCCAGCAGTTCAGTTAACACAGGTTACACTTGAAAACAATGGACATCTAAATTAAACTGATGAATGCTGGTTTTAAAAAAAACTTTTTTTATAAAAAAAAAAATTTTTACAAAGAGAGGACACAGAGTGTAAGCACAGTGAAGTGAAAAACTGACTCACTGAGACTCACAACATTCACACTGGACCAGACATGGGCAAACTAAGGCTCGGGGACCGAATGTGGCCCGTTCAGCTTTGTAATCTTAACGCTCCGTCTATCTGCTCCTTGTTCAATTTTAGGACCCACATCTGAACTAGACTCTTAACAGTCTTTCAGCGCCACCTTCAGTTTGTCTGGGCTGGTTGTTTCTGTGGCCCTGGTTGTTGGCAGCTCTGACCACAGTAGAATTCAGTATCAGCTCTGGAAGGTGGAACTTTTGTAGACTTCTAACATTCTGCACTGTAGCTCAATGAATCAGAGAAAATGGGGGGAAAAAAGGTTAAATTGAAACCAAATTCCTGAGCTTTATATATTTTTTAAATGTGTTTTTGCAAACTTTTCTGTACACTTCTAAGCCACTCAGATACATTCATTTTATGGAATATACATCAACGTGCAAAGGTTGAAATGAGATTAATTAATTAATTAGTAAAGCTATAACTTGTTTTTAATTTGTTTTTAATTGCCCATTATTCAATCTACGATTCAAACATTTCATATTTTTTTTAATTAGTTTTAAATTTGACGTTTTGGATTCAAACCTAATGTCATCGTTCAGCCTGAGCGTTCTCGCTGCCCGCAGACAGTATTCAGTAAAACTGATTACATTCTGCATTGAAATTCTGGAAGCATCTCCTTCGAGCAGGAAAGATTGTATCGGTCTTAAGCACTCTGTTATGACTGTCTGCCTCAACAAGTGACAGACCGAGGGAAGATAAACTGAGCAGTGAATCAAAGCAGCTTTTCAACACTGCAGTGACGGAGAATACGGTTCAACCCAGGAGTGAAGACATCATCAGCGTTGAGGTAGTTGTAATTGTCTTAAAAGAGAAATGAAGGTGTCAGCTACGGGACGTGTGAAGGATGCTGCAGGACTGCTGCAGGTTCTCAGCCCAGCAGGCAGCTCTACTACACCCTGGGGATAGGTCGAGTTCGTGCATGCAACGTATTAAATTTCATCATGTGAACATCACATGACCCGTACTCCAGGTTCTGGTATTGTCCGTTCTTTGGGGGGGGGGGGGGGGGGGGAGATGAGCCGCAGCAGCAGAAATGTTGAGCATTTTATAAACTGAATATCCTGGTTTGATGCCATGTTGTTGGGGCCTCTAAACTTTTGTGAAGGATATGAGTGTGTTCCAAAGCTGTTGTCTGCTCGTGCAGGCGGTCAAAAAAAAGAAAGAAGAAGGCGTCCTGCCTCGATGATGATAAGGAATAGATGGGGTTGTGGGGGGGGGGCATCATGTGAGCTTCACAGCGACCTCGCAGTTAAATTTAGTGGTCCTTGTGTTTGGTGCCAGCTAGCCTGCATCACATGATATATGATACCGACACCTTCAGTGGCTGCATGAGGTTGGAATACTACAACTAAAGTGATGAGCCAAATGTCAGACTGCTGTGAGGAGAGCAGTTCCTTTAACTGACAGCCAAGCCTCCATCGCTGTGTCATGTGAACATCTTATCATGACTCCAGCACTCGGACAGCTGTTAGTTAAAGCTACGCTTTGAGGTCGACTTCTGTGTGCTCACTATGTATGCTGCGGTTTTTCATGGTGAAAACACATGTGGTAAATACAAGTGAATTGACACTAAATATAGTCTCAGAAGAGGCCGTCTGACAGGAAACTTCTCTTACTGTTTATAAACAAACAAATCATACCTGGATATAGAAATTTAAATAACCGTCAATTCTCTGTAAGTTGGTACAACAGTATTGTTTAGTGTAAACTAATACTTAATCAAAATATTACCACGGGAACAAGTCATAAATCTAGGAGAAGAAAAACTTCAAAAATTGTATCTGCAGAATAATTGCTGATTAATCGCAGGGTAGTTCTGGATTAATCACTGCAGAATAATTGCTGATTAATCGCAGGATAGTTCTGGATTAATCACAATTAATCATAATTAATTAATGAACACAAATCAACATTCCTAAATATGTTAAAGATCTTTTTTAAAAGCTTTTTTTGTGACAACTTTTACAATTAGTTTAGTCATGACTGTACTTCTTGACAGTGGTCAATTCTGCCGGTCGGTAATTTAAAAAATGTTTAGTCACCAACTGGTACGTTTCACTAACTGGTACCACGGCGGTGCTGTGTGCAACGTTGTGGTTAGTTTGTCACAGTCTGCCTCAGCAGTTCTTCTTCTCTATTTCAGAAATATTTGTATCTTGCAACATACTGTAGCTGAGTAAACCCCCTAACACAAAACCACACCAACTGCCTCAGTCCAGATATTAAACTTTAGCCTGACCATCCCAGTACAACTCTGATTCAGTTCCCATGGTGGGAGAGGTCCAGAGTTCAGGGCAGAGGGGTTTTTGCTGTGTGATGATGCCGTTGGATAATGAACAGGGGCTCCTGTTGCAGAGAGTTATTACCATGGTGACATACGGCCAGCAGCGTGTAAGTTATTGATGACAGTGCGGTAGTCAAACCGTCTGAGCTGAGGATTTATCACTCACTGAACACATGCTTCGAGAAATATGTACAACCATGGAGGTGGAAAATCCTTTGGAGCGTAAACATCACAGGCACAAATGCAAACACTGTCAGTGAACTGGACCCCATTGTAACTCTTACTGAAGCCGTTCACACTCTGAACCCGCAGCCCCGTGGCTGATGAATGAGCTTAGAGATGTTCACTTGGAGCCTGTTAGGCTGAGACGGACAGACTGAATCAGCATCTGAGTGCTACAGCAGTTGGTCATTAGTGTTACACAATCGGCTTATGGTAGAAAGGAGCAAACCAGATTAATCCAGAGCAGCATTTCTTGACCAGCAGGGAGTGTCGCAAACGTCGGTTTTACGTCTGTTATTTTATTTTGAGGAAATCATCAGCTGCTACGCAGAAATTAAAAGGAAATAGAGAAATGGTGTGGCTCTGAGGTCACATTAGGTTTGTTCTCTGCGTAGCTTCAATCGTGCTGTCTTTATGTGACGACCTTTGTCTAAAGATAGGTCACCTGATCACAGATTACGGTTGGACTCCAGGGCCACGCTCACAGTTCTAATCTCTCTGTCAGATGACAAAGCATCAGCTGATCTGGACACAGAGCAGGAGATTATTCCGCTCTTTGGTTATGGAGGCATCAACAACATGCACCGTCAGGATGTTTTCACTTTAACTAAATGTGTCGTTTTATACATTATGGAAACTAAAGACTCACCACATATATACAGATTTTAAAAAAATCACATCACACATAAACCTTTGAAAATGAATAGAAAATGTAGCTAATTATGTTAATAACACAAGTAAATCAGTAACAAGTCAATCAAAAAGTTAAGAGTGCCACTAGGGGTGTAAGAAAATATCAATTCACTGAAATATTGCGATCTTTTTTTATGATACCAGAATTGATATTCTACAGTACTGTATGTTTTTTTATTAACAATTCAAATGTATCCCTCTGTTTTCTTTTTAGTAACCTGATGTTAAGCATGCAACATCATTGCATGTTTGCTAGGCTAACAGTTTCCTACAATTACATTTTTTTTAAAAACTCAAAATGTCGTCGTACCTGTAGTACAGCAGTATATCACAGTATATCTTATGTGTGTTATGATACGTTTCAGATTTTTTCTAAAGCGCACCCCTAGACACCACCTAACAAAATTGTCACAATTGTAATGTTATATTTAATGTTATTTTTAATATTATATAATGATCTTACAGTTTCAATTCACTCATGATTTACTTACACAGAGAAGCCTGGGCCTGTTTAGTTGAACACAATGCTGATATACTTGCAGGAATTAAAGAAAGACGCACACAAAGATCTTCTTGAACGGCAAGAAATTGTTAAATGTTCTACCTTTCACTGTCACTGAAATAGAGACACATGGAGCAGCTGTTGATGTTGTTGAACTGTTGTCCAGCACATATTTTATTCAGACAGAGATATTGTTACGGGACTGTGTACGCAGGTCCATTCTGTTTATTTACATTGATAATAATATTCCTACTCTATTTACCTTATGTTCAGGTCCCAGCAATAAAAAAAAATCTTTCCGAACAATAGCCCATGTTTTGCCTGTACTAAAAGCAGAATAAATATTGACTTCAGAGCTTTTTCCTTTCCACCGTCCTGACTGGTCCGGGAACGGATCAGACATTTCCTGGCTGCCATGTAATGGTCAAAGAGATGTCTCTTTGTGTCTCCTGCTGCTGCTACAGAGGTGTCTCTGTCCTCACTGGACCTTTGCGTTTTGTCTCATAATAACCCTCTTTTACCTCCGGCAAATATGAACAGCACCATTAGACTGGACACTAATGGACAGTCTCACAGCTGTTGGTGTCACTCGGGGTCCCCAAATAATAACACGTACGTCCCTGTTTGTATTTCAGGGATCTGAAACTGGACAACGTTCTTCTGGACAAGGATGGACACTGTAAACTGGCAGATTTCGGCATGTGCAAAGAAGGCATTTTTGAAGGTGTGGCCACAGGAACGTTTTGTGGAACCCCCGATTACATCGCCCCAGAGGTCAGTGGATGTACATTCACTATTACAGCCATAAATGATGGCTGCAGACTATTACTGAAAGTGGATGTTTGAATATTTATTGACCACAGACTGAAGAAGAGAATAAAACTCAGTAACCCAGAGTCACTGAGTTCATAGATTTCCCACTCCCATCCTCTCTCTCTCCCTCTCCCTCTCTCTCTCTCCCTCTCCTTCTCCCTCTCTCTCCATCACACCACTTCTCTAAAAACAAACTCTGTGGTCAGTGCCCGTCAATCCACACTGTCTCCTGACTAACTGGAAAACAGCACACAGTTTCCTCAACTATCTGTGAATCCTCCTCAAGAAGGCAGGTTTACAGGCGTGGCCTGAAGAGAACTGGGCCGTGGACACATCAGACTCTGTAACTCTGTAACTGCTGCTCTTTTAATTGGTGAATTAATTGGAAAGATGTAACATTTTGCCGCAGATCCTGCAGGAGATGCTGTACGGCCCCTCGGTGGACTGGTGGGCTCTGGGGGTGCTCCTGTACGAGATGTTGTCAGGACACGCCCCCTTCGAGGCTGAAAATGAAGATGACCTCTTTGAGTCCATCCTCAACGAAGAGATTATTTATGCACCGTGGCTCGGCGCAGAAGCAGTGAATATACTCAAAGCAGTAAGTCTCCATCTGTTGACGGTGTTAAAGTGTCAGCGCTTTGTGATTTGAGTAAAATAATTTGGCTGCATCAGAGGTCTGTAAAGGCCAACTCAGAAAAGTAGGAGGAAACCGGATGTCCTGGAGAAAAACCACACACGGAGAGCACAAGCAAAGTCCAGAACAAAAAGACCGGGGATTGGACCTGTGACCTTTTTACTGTCAGTGGCACAAACCACCTTGCTCACTGTGTGGCCCATGAATAGTCATAATAATAATAATTTAAACAGCAAATCTGCTGCGTCATGGCTGCCGCTTGGAGGCGCCAAGTATGTGGTGACTCTGGCCCTCGAACCCAGGACCTCCTGCATGTTAGGCAGATTTATGAAGCAGGCATGATAACAACTCCACTAAATACATGATCCTTCTGCAGGAAGTAGTATAATCTAATGCAGGAACATGTTTTAAATTATTTTTGAGTTTACGTTTGGAATTACGCCATACCTTGAACACGTGAACAGAGGTGTGAAGACTTTTTACCTTCACTGGATTCAGAATGAGTTGATGGAAGATGTAGCGGTCAGACCAGGGTTTAGAGCAGCCTTTGTCTTCTCTGTGGACATTTGACCCCCATTAGACCACTGTGTTGGACTTTATGTTGTCCACACAATGGACGGAAATGTTTGCGGGGCTACGTTGGCTGAACTAAACATGAAGGAAATCATTCCCTCTGGATGGCGGCCAGCATTGTCCCGTGAGTCTATACCACAGGAGCGTATATAAAGGTATCAGAGGTTTGAAGTGATGATGTGTTGAACCTCTTTGATCAGAGTTGGTGGTTCGATGCCCTTTAAGGCCAATGACACTCAACCAGTTCTGTGGATCTCTGCCACCTCTTTGGCCCCGGCCTCTTACATAACTATATTAAGGCATGGTCCGTCGATCAGCCGCTCAGCAGGCTATAAATACAACAACACCTCCTCCCTGTTTCCTCCTCTGTTTACTCTGCATCCCCCCTCCCCCCACGGTTATTTCAGCATTCCTTAAGAAAAACGAACCCAGTACCCTTTTGGTACTGTCACTGGCTCTAGTCTTACACAATACTTATAGATGCATGTCAAGGCAAGTGGATTGAACTCTGCAGCTCTAATTATCCTGAAGGCTAATCTGTTGCCATGGTTTTCTGTGTTCCTCTGAACGAGTTGGTGGAGTTCACCTGGGCTGTTGTTTACTATGCAATTTCACTTAATTGGGCTGAAAACTATTATTTATTTATTGCGTATCATTTTCTTTACTTGTCAAAGCATGAACGACAGAACAACTCTTCTGCTAGGTGCCAGCATATGGCTATGAAAACTAAAAAAAAAAGAGAATCAGAGCTGTTGAAGAAGATCGTTGCCAGTTTTTTTTCTTCAATTCCTACCAATCTATCAGCGTTGTCTTCAACTAAACAGGCCAAGATTTTAGTCAATTATGAGGTTTTTTAAACTAGATGATTATTAGATTTCATTACATATACTTTTTGTTTGATGATCCTAGTGATATACGTGAACCATGGCTCTAAAAAAGGTTGGGAAACACTGGTTTAAACGACAAAACATCAAATGTTGGATTAGGCTAATGTCAGTCAGTTTTAATTAAACCCTGGAAAAAGGATTGGGCAGTGAAAGCTGAACGAACCTTTGAATTACTTTTGAACTTTTTTCTCATTGGACTGCAATATTCTGCTGCTGTAATGGAAACAAGTTTGTGGTGTAAAAGTGCTGCGTGGTGAGGATGGCATGGTTGACATGCAGCTGTGGAAACATGGCATCATTAAAGTGGAAAATTTTCTTCCTCTACTTTTTTATGTCTTTCGAACTCTGAAGTGATTAAAACCTGTTGGTCTGGAAATAATTGCGCCTCAGGGACTGAGGACTGCAGTGATGCACTTGTGTTTTCTTCTTGTGTGTCACATTGCCCGGCGACATCATTGAGTTTGGGCTTGCAGCTGCAAACCCCTGCATGCACGCAGCTTTACAAACAAGCGATGATGATACGTTGCCCATTCCAGAGAAGTTGCGGCTGTATATTTGATGTGATAACCGTCGCCGAGCAGGATTCAAGTCTCTGCAAGTTCATTGTCATGGCATCATCCAAACATTGTACTTTGCACAAACTGGAGGGAAAAGCTGCATGCAAGACAAAGTAACATTTTGTTACTAACAACAATGTATAACAATGTGATAGAATTTTTTTTTTTTATCGAACAAACTCTATCCCAAGTTGGTTCAGGAAATCTACCTAACAACACAATTTAGACTTTTGTTGACAAGTTTTTTTGAAACTGTTTTATGAAATTATATACATTTAAATACATTAAATACATTTTTTTTCTCAAATATTCTCAACACATATTATACTGAGTATTTCCCTGCACTGGGGGCCACGAGGTCACTAACACAAGAAGGAATTGTTCATCTTTTGACTTGTTGCTCCTACAGCTGTTGTTGTCACTGTCCTCATGAAAACTCAGTAGTTGGGTGTGGCTGAGGCTAGTATCAGCGCTAAACCTCTTTAGCCAAGAGTTTTTTTTTCTTCCTTTTTCTTAAACCCTTACACTTTCGCTCTAGAAAGAAGTTCGATCAAAACAGCCTCACCCTTTACCTCCCACCACAGTGTCATCGGGGAGCAGCGTGTGTAGTTCTCTGATCTTTTGTGTTGATCAATAGAAGGAAGTAACGTTGCTCATACAACTTCAACCCTGCCCTATTTCTGCACTGTGGGAGGTGTCTGACAATAGGGGTGTGTGCGTCTAGGGGTGGGACTTGACTGGATGCCTATTGGCCAAAGTCCAGTTTGACTTCTCACCAAAACAAATGATCCTGTGGTTGAAACCAGGCTCTGGTCTTATGGCTAATGCTACGAAATATTTGTTGTTGCTCATACCCCACATTTTGACATTTCTGACACAGGAAGTGTTGTTTTTTTTTCTGCTTATTGACCCATGTTTTGATTGTGACAGCTCCTGACCAAGAACCCAGCCCACCGGCTGGGCTGCGTGGCCGCAGAGGGCGGAGAGAGCGCCGTGACCAATCACCATTTCTTTGCTGAAATCGACTGGGAGAAACTGGAACGAAGACAAATAGAGCCACCTTTCAAGCCCAGGATTGTAAGTCACATCAATGACAGCTCAATACTCTTATGTACACACAGGCGACGTCAGGTATTCAAGGTGACTTTTCACCTGGTAGCTTTGGCGCTCGCTCAGCCACTGAAATGTGAACAAATAAACTCAACACACAGGATCAGTGAGCTCTGGTAAATGTTGTAGTAATTTGACTAAACTAAACTCATTGTCATGTTCGAGAAACTGTTAAAATGCTTTTAGTTTCGATGACATGGTGAAGGAAAGTGAACTCCTTGGCGTTGTGACACAGCTCACCACTCCACTCCATCAAATGTGACCTCTGTTTTTAACCATCACCAAAGTGATGCCATGCTCAGAGCAGCTCGAACCTGAAGCCTTCTGCACCCAAGTCCGCTTCCTTAACCACTCAGCCACCACTGCCCATTGAAACAATGGAGCCTAAAGTTGTTTAAGAATATCCCCCACGTTAGGGTCTGCAACCCTCAACACCAAAAGACAATTTATTTTTTTCATGACAAAATAAAATAAAAAAGATACAATCAAACTAGTTCAAACTTTTTAATTATGGATTACGAATTATGCAGTGGAGACGATGATCACAGTACAGCTGAAGTAATTTCTAAGACTTTTCTGTATGTCATCATCGCACGTTCTACCTTAAATATTGCACAACCTAGTGGAGTTAGAGAACACAGTGACGTTATGAGGTTTCACTGTTAACCAGCAAGCCTCAAGTGATGTGTGAAATAGACACAACCCTGTCCTCTACAACTGTTTGTCAGACCAGTAGCACCGCGCTGATCATTAAAGGATCAATACATTTTCAAAATAAAACCTCTTTTAGACTTTAGTATCAGTTTGAATGACATATTATTTTGAAATATTCTCCAATCTAATTGGTTATGGATTCTCTTCGAATGAAGTGAATGAATAAACGTTAAGTACATTTTTTTGTTACTGTGTCACACTGCGGCCTGCAGATCTTCGTGGGTTGGGGACCCCTGCTCTACGTTGTTAGTGGCTGCAGACAGGCAGCTGTCTGAAGTGTTGATGGATGAATTCTCCGATGGCACCAGCTTTCAATCCAACTGTTAAACATTGCAGCAGAAGTCTGCGCTCTTTGAACCAATGTCCAAAGATTCTTTCCTGTAACGTTAGTTGTCAAACTGAGCAACTGCTGCCAGTTTGTCAGCTCAAACACTGTCTGATCCACATTTGGATGAGCTACTGTACTCACCGAATGTTCTGTCAACTGTTTTCTTTCAACCAACTTTTGGCTTGTTCACCAGTGGTCGTCGACATAGCTATTAGTAATAGACTAGTTACAACGGAATCCGGGACTCTCTGTGAATTTGTAGTTTTGTTTGTTTATTTCTTTACAACAATGAAGGCACAGAATGAGACACATTTACTGTTTTAACTAGTCTGATGCTCAGTTTGAACTTGACCACCATGACAAAGACTAGACTACAACTAAGTCTAAATCAATTTTTCATTATAAGAAGTTCAACAGCTTTATCTAATGAGGGAAATGTACTGAATTGCTCATGCAGTAAATTAACATTTACTTGACAAAGTACTCCTCATTGTTCTCTTCCAGAAAACGCCTCAGGATGTGAATAACTTTGACCCAGATTTTACTCAGGAAGAGCCCACCCTCACGCCCATCGATGACCCCCTAATCCCTCAGGTCAACCAGGACGAATTTGCAAACTTCTCCTTCATTTGTCCTGAACTTCTGGAAAGCTAAGAGACGCCGTGAAGCTGCACCAGCCCCAGCGTGCCCATCTCTATTTTCAGGACCTTATTATTAAGCCAAAGACAGTTACTGTGCCCAAAGATGTGCAGTGGGATGCTGACACATCCTCCAGAGACAGAAAGGTGTAGAACTCCAAGCTGTCAGCAAAACACAAGCTCATTAAAGCTCTGGTGCTGCGCGGTAACACAGTTTCAGCACTCCTGTGACTCCTGAAAAGCAAAACAGCAGGTTTGAAATTGACTGTTACAGCTTGACTAGCGCTCAATCATCCAGGTTTATTTTTTGTATTTTTTATATTTCTCATGTTGCTGCGTTTGTAAAGGCATTTTAATGCATTGCACTGTCTGAATTTTTATTCTGCATTTGCTGTCATTCACACCGATGCATTGGATTCCAACTACTTTAATAGAAAAAAAAAAAAGTTTGGAGCCCTATGATTTAGTTTGTGTTCTCATTTTTCTCTAACTAGAAAGATTTTTTCAAGTAAGTGATGCTGCCAGGCGAAGGCCCTGGAAGGACTGAGTGAGCAGATGAATCAGTCATGTGATCCCTTTCTGGGAAAATACAAGCACAGAGTGGCTAGGCATGACAGATATCCTGTAGCCTTTTGAGCAAAAAAAAAGAAAAAGAGCTAAAACTTGCACTGAGCTTTTTTCACTGTTTTAATGTGAAATGTATCTCAAACTACTGCTGTCTGCAGTTGTGAAACTTTGCCATATTCTAGAATGTTTCCTGTAAAACCAATCAACCAGTCATGAAGAAGGTGATGCAACATTTCGTCTGAAGTGAAAGTCATATAAGTTCGTCACACTTACACCACATCGTAAACAGCAGCAGAGGGAGAAACGATTGTTCACGATCTGGCAAATGGCAGAATCTGGTGAATTTGGCCTTGTGTGAAGGTCACTTCTTCTTCTTCTGCTGCTGCTCTCATTTTACACACTCTCTGTCTCTCCAAACACAGGGTCTTTGACAGTGTCCAGGTCTGTGGTCAGACTGCCTGGGTAATGCATATTCTCAGGGGAGGCCTGGAAGTCTAACAGAGCTGATGAATATTTTACAGTGAACGTTAACTGAAAATGGAAAGTAAGAAGAGAAATCACATGATGTGGTGATTTTTTTTTTTTTTGTCTTTGAAACCATTGCAGAACAAACAGGAAACCTCACAGTGTCATTTCTGTTACCTCAAATAGAAACCAGGGCAGCTCATTATTATTTTTGGTGCCAGTTTGAGAGGCAGTTCACTCCTGCGCTGGTGGTAACAGACACTGAAAAAAACAACACAAACAACAGCAAAGGATTGAGTGAAACTTGAATAGTGTCGGAATCGTGTTTGCCCCGTGCTGAACCTGCTCAGACTCGAACAACCTTGAACGTATCGGACGTAGATGGCGACTTCCTGTTAGGTAGAAGGAGGAAGTCTTCAGGCTCCACATCACATCTGTTTATCTCCTCAGTCTGTGATGTTTGTGCTGAATTGTAGCTGTACGCTGTTAATTGTTGGCTTGAGTTACATGGGTGTAACACGAAACAGAAAACAACACTTCTGTGCTGTAAACAAACCAGCCCACCTAAACAACCACAGCAGCAGGGGTCCAGCGTTTACAAATGTGTTTATTGTAATGAGCGAAGGATTTTTTTCACAGCGTTCCTGAACATGCTGCCTTACTTTTCCTCAGGAAGCTCAGATTGTTTCATTTTCTGGTAAGACACATTAAAGCCCCTGCTCCTGGAAGAGAATCGATTTATTTATTTTATGTTGTTTCCAACAAGTTTCAGGCAAAACTCTAGAATTTACTTAGACCATTAGGTTTTTTGGGTAAAAAAACAAAACAAAAAATCTTCCACAATTGATGGCCTCAGGTTTGTGCAGTTTTTTTTTGTTTGTTTTTTTTGCTCTAGTTTTGTACAAGAATTAAATCTTGTCACTCGGTAATGGCTTTTTGATGATAGTTGTTGAGCATTTTTTAAGCACAGTTGAGGTTTTCGGTTTACAAAACAAAAACAACAACAAAAGTTTCAAAGTGGCCAATTTATAATTTTCGGTTTACAAAACAAAAACAACAAAAAAAGTTTCAAAGTGGCCAATTTGTGAAGATGTCTTTCATGTATATGAATAACAGGAATTCTCCCATTAGAAGAGAAAGCTATACCAGAGTGAGATATGAAAGGAACTAAATGAGGGAAAATGTTATTGCTTATTTGGAAATTCCTGAGCTTTTCTAATCAGATGTTGGCACCGGGCTGCATATTTTAGGATGGAGTCAACATTTTGAGTTTGAGATATGTATTGCAGTACAAGTACAAGTCAATGGCTGTTAATACACAAGAATGCATTTCTCCAATTCCCGTCGAGCCACTTCATGTAGACGTGCCTTGACTTAATAGAAACAAAACAGCAGCTGATCCAACAACAGCTCTCCAGTCTGTGTGTGCCACACGCGGTACGGCATATTGGAGAAAATTGCTTTTTGTTTGCCCATTAGCCTGGTTCCATTTGACAACTCTCCTTAGGTGATGTCTGAATGAGAGGAGAGAGATTGAGCAGCCCTGTCTCAGCCTTCATTACTGAGAGTCAGTGATGGCTGCCGGCAGTGTCTGCACACTCACTGACGGGGTCAGAGTTCCACTCGGCCTTCTTTGATTTATACAGAAAAGGCAGCAGTGCTGCACAAATACATCGACCACATGAGGGAAATCTAGATGGATGTGTCCGCTGGTAAAAACCACTTACTGCAAAAGTATAACTCAACCACACAGTAGCTGTGATTACAACAACGTACAATTTTATTTCTACAGTTCCCTTTTAGAGGTGTGGTAATTCTGGTATGATGATGGTGCAAGATTTGGTTGGACTTGGAGAATAGGTGGTTGCAACATCATAAAATGTTTGTTCTTGTGAAGGTGACTGATGTTTGGCGAGCTTTGGGTTTGAATTATTCAGACATAATGTTGAGGACAGTGCCAGAAGCTCTGCCCATTCAAGGTGTGGCTTCCAGACAATTGTGAAGTCGGTCAGACAAAACGTTATAATTGTTATCCTAAAATGTTGAGTCTTGTTGACATGACCAACGGCTGGTGGATGTAATCACAGTGTGAGCATTGACATGAGCTTAATCCACTGAAGGTGTGGCAGGCCTCCTGGACAACTTCCAGGTGAATGTATTGTGACTCACTGTGAGTGAATAATCAAAGACTGTTGGCTTGATGTACTGGATGAGCTGTGCTAAATGTGGTTACAACCAGTTTGCCAAATAAACAATAGTGGCTGTTTTGCTGAACCTGACCTGGTTAATATAATTTGACTGGCAAATAAAGGCATTTTCACATTGTTGGTGGCACAGAACAAGGTCATATAGTAGAGGAATTGCCTTTGAGATTGTTTCAGTGGATTTTTAACAAAACAGCTAGCTCATAATATGAATATTTAGGTACCTAATTATTCCTATTTTAGATACAAAATAGCTAAAAGCTAGTCTGAGTTAAGGCTAGCCAGAAATATGCTACATTCAAAATAAAGCTTAGCTTAAAGAAAACTCCAACAAGATATGGAATAGCTACAAGTTAGCTAACAATAAAATAGCTCAAAGTTATCAAGTACGTAATTCACACTGTTGCGACAGTATTCCCAGATAGAGAATAGAATAGAATGAAATATAATAAAACAGTCTTTATAGTAACTGTTCATATTGTACAACTTACACAAATATGAGCTAAAAGTGCAGACCAGACGGAGCTTAATGTTGGGCAAAAATGGAGAAATAAAAGTTAGAACAAACAAAGGCAAACACATGGTAAATATGCCATGAATTGTAGGCCAAAATTTTTTTTTGCAAAATCAGAAAATTGTTCTTGATTTACTTGTTTGTGGATCAGGGCACAAATAATCACTAGTTAGTCACAGCATATTATTGCCAGTGTACAAGTACCAGTTTTAATAATCATTTGATTAACAAAGACCGAGCCACATGCGCTGAATTGTTGTCAATTTCAGGCCTCAAGGCCAAAGTTTGACGACTCAGTAGTAGCTTTGCCTGCACACATGTTTATTTGAACTCAAGTCAAATGGCTGCTGCTCATTCCCTCACACTGAAGTGTTGTTCTGTTGTGCCAAGCCTTCTGGGAAGTCAGAACCCTACACTGCCAATTCCAAATGTAATCACAATAATGTGCCGTGAGATATTATGTTTTCTTTTTGCTTTTAAAAAGCATGTTCTGACCTGTCTGAAAGGACATGGCTATCAGCCAAACATGAGCAACAGTGGCAAGAAGGGAGGAGGAGTTTGAGCAGGCAGACTTCTCCAAAACGGTACAGGAAAATTACCAAAACCCTCTTCATGCCAGCGAGTGAGGCCTGTGGTGGAGTCTAGCTGAAATTGCTCAGTTTCACATTGCTGCTCACTGGCCTGTAAGAATATGGACACATTTTAGGCTGACTAATGACAATTAAAACCAAAAATGCCCACATGGCTCATGTTGTGTGAACAGTAGGCAGTTTGGTGTCTGTATGAAATGCATTTTTATTGTTTGCCTCTAAAAATTCAAAAACATGGAGTTACGTAATGTTAACCGTTAGCAAAAAACTACTGCTTCCACTGGTTAGTAGGTATGTCAGTAAATCAGACCGAGACCAGTTTTATTTCTGTTTTTTAAAACTCATCTGCTTTAGCTGACTGAATGTCATTTACAGTTTAATTATCCAATTCAAGGATGAGAAGAGACACAAATATCTTTTATCATTTATCTTCTAATATTACAATTTTGGTTTGTAAAACAGTCATGATGTTTTAAGAGCAGCACACCTTGAACTTGTCATTGAGACGCTTGATACTAATGATAAATCCACAGAGTCGTCTTTTTATTCTTATTTTTTCACACACCAGGTTCCTTGTCAGGCCAAGGAAGTTGAGTTCTCATATAGAGTCTGGTTACAGCTGATAAAAAAGACCATATAACTCACAGGAAATAGGTGAATATTCTCCCATGAATGAGTGCTTTGTAAAATGAGTTCAGGAAGGTGGACGGATTTTCAGTCATCATTGCAAAAATAAAAGTATTTTGTTTTTTTCTTGTGTCTAAATCTAAATCTAAATAAAACATGTTCATTCTGGGATAGTGGAAAAAACCCCAAATCTTAGTTTTAAGTGACCATGAACGTGAAAAGTATTTTTAATTTCAGTTTTGGTTATTTATTTCTTAGTAGTAGAGTCGCATTATCTTGTAGCAGAACGTACTACGTCATAAAGAACTCACTTCTCATCTAGAATGGACTGGTTTGTTATGCGCGTCCTAGATAACATACGAGGCATGTGACTGCGCGCTCCCGTGCGCCGGGGGCGGAGCCTGTCCATAGACGGCGCAGTAGCATTGTCTCTGCTCGGAAAAGTAACGCTGTCTCCAGCGTGGCATTTAATGTGAGGAAAAGAAGAGGACACTGGTTAATTTCGCGGACGGAGGCTTAATTATTTGAAGAAATACACGCCGTGGGTACTTGTATGCTAATAGTTTGAGGCTTCACAGACTCAAGCTGTTCCAAAAGCGCGGATTTTGAGTTAATTTCTCGACGGGCCCGGACACAGCTGAATATCGAAAGAGAGGCTCAACTCAGGTTCTTCAGTCCTGACATGGACACAGGAATTGTACCCGAAAAGAAAAGGTAAGGACAGTGCTATCGCAGGCTACCTAGTAGAATGTTATTCAGTGAATGAGCTCAAGTGTCATGTTTGGCTCCCTGCTAATTTTTCTGCGTTTACTGCCTTGACATTATGGGCTTTTTCTCAAGGTTAACAGACAGTTTAGCGAATTACTTGGACAAAATGTGGGTGAGCGACGCAACTCGCTAGCAGGCGGCTAACACAGCCTGCTAACTGACATGTAGACCAGTGAGCCTCGATACAGGTAGAGAGTTTATACAAATTATTAAGATAAGGTAACTGGTTCATACAAGTTTATACGTTTATATTAATTACATACTTGAATACTTATGCGTCTTATTTACAATATTTTGCAGATTATTTGTATGCTAAGATGTGGTTGTATCATTAGCGTCGGTTACAGTTGTTTTTACAGTAATTGAGAATGTGTTAAGGATTTATCCTATTAATAGTGTAATCATTAGTGCCGTATTGTTTTGGATTGTTGTGCCAACCTTGACTCTCTGTGGAGTGCTGCTCATATGACTGTGGTGTGCGGTGTCTGATGAAATATTAAGGCTTTAGAGGTGGCGTTGGTTTGTTGTTTTGCTCTAATAGTGGTCAGAAAGACGATGTTGACTTAAAAAAGCTAGTGGTCAGAAAGACGATGTTGACTTACAGAGTCCTCTGGAGCTATTGATTGAACTAACGCATGACTATATATATGTGTGTATATATATATATTTCTGTCGCAGAATATCTGATTTCAGTCACAATGTGGAATTTTTGGTCAGTCTAGAAATGTATTTATTTAGATTGCATATATTATGCTACGTAATAAATCTGGTTTGCAACTCTTTTTAAAAAGAAACACACAAGTATGCAACAATTGTTACTTGGTTTTAGACGTGGTTTTTTAAACATTAATCCACTCACGTTTTAGCATAGTTCTTGGAAGGCAATTGTAAGGCTCATGTCTTTTAGTTTACCGAGGAAATTTTAGCTTTATTATACGGTAGTATTCTGTTTGTGATTAACAGATCTAATATCTCATTGTAACTATCCAAAGTAAGCATTGATGACACTGATAAATATTGGCTGTGTTCACTGACTAACGTATTTTATATCAACTCATCACCTCCAGAACCTGCCATTTCCACATATCAACTCATCACCTCCAGAACCTGCTATTTCCATATGTCGACAAATATTTGCTCTCACCTAATGTTCGTTTCTCTTCGTTTGTTCCCTAAATGCTATGTTAATTTACAAAACAGTTATTATGTTATATTAAAGAATATATTGGTCCATCCAAACATATGTTTACCAATGCTATTTGAAAAGACTCAACTTGCTAAATTCATTGTTGCTATTATTCAAGCTCTATCCTGCAACCAATATCGGCATTGGAAATGCCTCTGTTTATTTATTTTGGCACTAACAAAAGTGCAACTAACAATTTTACAATGCCTATGGAATCTACTCTTTGTCTGATACATAACATCATCTTTATTGGGCTTGGGTTTTTGGCTTTGAGCTTCCAGGATATGTGACCAATTTTCAGCACAAAACGTACCCTAATTTGTTTTAAAATATATTCAGCAAAAGTCATTGTAAAACAGCTCAAATGCACATATAGAATATAGTGATGCTAACCAGAAACAAGCCAGAGTAGCTCTAAAAATGTAAACTTACATCTCCAGGCTGCTGTAGTTTTCTGACATGAGTGCAACTCATTTCAAAAGAGAGTAAAAAGATGGTAAACTATTCATGTACTTATTGTTTTTCATACTTAAACTATAACATCCTTAGCACAGAAAATCACTTGTTTAATTTGGAAAATAACAAACAGTTATTTAGAAAAAAAACCCGTTATTTCATTTTAACAGTTTGCTTAGTGGCATGGCACCTTATATTGTGATTTTTTTTTTCCATTTGTGCTGCCGTGGTTGTGAGTATAAGTTGAAGCTTGGTTGATGGCTGATAAGATTTTCACTCCCTTTGACGTTTGTCTTTGCTGTTGCTAACTGATCCACCAATGAGATTCTTTTAGTCTTAAATCGTTTATTTGGTTGTGCGTAAACTATAGACAAGAATCAACTGTCTACATCCTGCATGGTTTAGGCAAGTGCACGTTTTCACTTTCATCACAAGAGAAAATCCTGAGTTGTGGTCTGGTTGGATGCAGTTTCAGCAGATCTCTATTGGAGGCTGTGGTGTTATTTGCACATCATCTCTTAATCACTAGGTCTGTGCGTCAATAGGAGTGGCCAAATGTCTGATGGCAAATTGCAGCTTACGCTTAGCCATCCTAGAGTAATTATATCCTTTATTGGAGGACTAGATCAAACATGAAATTGTGCCCCTGGCTGTTGAGAGTGTGGATTTGAAATAGTTGTGTGTATACTTTTCTTATTTGAGTTATCTGATTGAAAACATATCTATGCAGTAGCTGCTTGTATAAAATATCTACAACTTCCTAGATTGATAGTCACATCAAGGATTGCACCCAGGCTGTTCATTACAGTGGCAAAAAAGTAACAACTACATGTGATATTTGACATTACAATGTGTAATTATCTTTTCCACATCTAATTACTACAGTCGTAATGTTTATCAGGGCTTCATAATGCCTGGAAGGAAGTTAAAATATCAGGAAATGTATGGAGTAACATCCCGTCATCCTGATTGTTAAAAAACAAGATTTCATGTGGGCACAGACTTTCTTTTTTTTTTTTAAATGCAAAATTTCATGTGGGCACAGACTTTCTTTTTTTTAAAAAAATGCAAAATGTCCTCTTGTCTGCTGGTTTAAGGGTACTAATATACCCATAAAAAGAAAGTTCTTAAGCTTTTAAGGCACAAATTTGTTGCAGAAGCAGATTTTATTATGTTTTGCCGAGTTTCACTTGGAAGCAGATTTTATTATGTTTTGCCGAGGCCTCCTCGAACAAGTGAAGTGTTTAATGAGTTTTAGCTTGTTTTAATGCAGTGTGTCTGTAGCAGCACAGCTTTTGAGCTTCGTTTTTATAGGTAATCAACCTAAAGAATTCAGAGCTGTTTGAGGGCCATTAACGTTAGAGGACATAAATAGAGCAACATTTGCACTTAAACAATTATTGATAATGTCCAGCAAAGAAGCAGACTCCTCATTAAAAGTAGATTTATTTTGCGTTTAAATATCTGATTCTTTGAAACTCTTTTGAAACATTCGTAGTAATGTTGTCTTTTGTTCTTTATTAGTTTTAAGTAAAGGGAAGTGTCAAGTTAGATTCACCTTTTATGAATATGTTGTAAAAGAATAAAGAGAGTGGAAATAAGGTTTATGGGATTAATTTGAGCTACTTTTCCCCTATTTTTCATTGTCAGTAAACATTTTTATGAAGAGTTTATGGTTTTTTTGCTTTTTCTTGCGCTACTTACTTTAAAAATGCAACAAAATGTCGTGTTCAGATAACAATCAGTGACTGTTACTTACTTGAGGCCCAGTAATGTAACATAAATTTTGCTCCTAGTGGTAAAAGTTAATGTCGTTAAAAATGACCAAACATCTAGAACCTGGACACACTATTTAAACATATAGAAATAGTCTTATTTGCCAAACATCACACAACAGACAGTAATTTAGCTCCACGTGTCTTTTTGTTACGCATCAATGAATTTTCTTCAAAGAACTGTTGATTAAAAAGTTCTTCCAGTGTTTCCAACATATGCTCCACTGACTCCCAGTGAAACTTGGCTTTTGTTTAAAGCGATGTTTATGTGCCTGTGAATGCATGTATATATGTTTACACAGTGTATCCTAAACAACTGTGTGAAAGGTCATTTTCAAATATATTCAAAATATCATCTTGTGCATTTGTCTGTTGGTGACAGAGGTTTATTTTTATTCATGATTTGTATTTGTGATGGAATCGGGTAGAGAAGTTTGTTTTTCCCTGGGCATGATTATATAATAGATAAGATGATGTGTACTGTAGTGACAGATGCATAGTGGGAACGTTGCTGGAATGTAATAGGTCAGTCCATATGAACAGATTACACAAGCAAGAGGCAAACAAAACTGTCCCTGGGTTTTTTTTCTTGTGCTTTAGATTGTGTTTAACCTCAAATTCCCATCTGCTTCACACAATGATATATAATCAAAGCAAGTTAATTAACCAATAATTAAAACAGCATGTATGATTGTTCTGTGAGCCATGTAAAACAGGTCAGTGCAGAGCTTGTGTATTCCTGTGGATAGTCTTATGCAACCATGGATTCTTAGCTCTCCTTTGTTTTGACAGCACCAGACGTATTTGGTATTGTGTACACACATTTAAGAAACTGTAATTCTCCCGTGTTCAGATGAAGTGTTTTTAATTTGACGGTACACAGAGGAGATCCTTGCATTTCTCAACTGTGTCATTTGGCAGTAGAGACTGGTAGGTTCTTCTCAACCTAATCTAATGTTCTTTATAGGTGGAATAATGTGTTACTACTAAGTAGTAAAATAAGAATAATCTGCCTTTATCCTTGGTGCTTTTCTGCATTAGATCCTGTGTACAGCTAGGTGTTAATGGATGCCATCCTTTATATGCTCCTTTTAATATTCATAGAATAGTAATGTAATAGCTGCACTTCATTTAGATAGCATTTACACAACAGTGAAACTTAAGAAGGTGCAGTCACTATAATGAAAATAGTGTAACCTGTGGTTTATATGTTTCCTTGTGGGAAATCAGGTTTCTGTTAACACCATTTAGCATTCATTTGTAATTGTGTCCTCAGGAGCATGGGCTACACCTCAGTCAGAGAACTATACACATACTTTAACTGTGTACAATGGCTTCGGTCTTTTCATCTCTGTATAAATTATTAGTAATTAGATTCATCTTTAATGAAAAATTGAGTTTTGTATATGAATGAAATTTGTTAAAAAATAAGGCTCAAAACAAGTACAGAGCAGAGAGTGTGAGCTGACACTGCAGTTCACAGTTTACTGTGGCCAGATATTCTGTTTACAGCCTGTTGGTTTGATATCTGTGCTGTTAATATTTCTCTTAACTGACACTGAGTGGTGATTTCATATATCAGACATTCTGAGACCACATTGGATTTTAACTCCCATCTCCGGCCGGATTGAATGTGAAGAAAAGTGACTCACTTTTGGAATTACACAGGGATCTAGAGTGCGTGAGGGGGTTATTCAGTTTTGAAAACATTTCAACCACATTTTGAATAAATGCATTGCTGCCAAATTAAATATTTTCACCTGGTCACCTTTTTTGATAAATAAATCCTTAAATTAAATGAGTGTTAAATGAGTACATTGTGTTGATGACTGATGAATCATTGAATATTTACATTCTCAGTTCCAGTTAAAAACTCCAGTGCTACTACCGGGTAAAAATAATCTGCCTCCCTGACTACAGAACACACAAACATTTTGGTGTAAATGCTGCTACAAATCTCTGGTACATGTTGTTAGCATCAGCTCATATCTGTCAAAACAAGAGGATTTAGTAGCTAGAGAAAGATTGGATTTAAGCCATCATCAAAACATGTTTTTTTTTTGTTTTGTATTTTTAATACAGCTGTTCGTTTTTTTTTTGTTTTGTTTTTTTAATACAGCTGTTTATGCTGCAGCCTTGTGTAACCACAGACTCCTATTGAGATTTTTTTCTTTTTAAACCCAAGCATCACAGTTTATTTATTTATTTATTTATCTTTTTGTGCTCATTTCACTCTGGCCTTTCTCTGGTAACCCTGCCAGGCCATTGAATACACAGTAACTCCATTTTCCTGTATCACAGCTTCATAACATTATTGCCTTGGTCGATATTGTCAGTCCACAACAGATCAATTTCAATTAAGTGTACATTACGAAGGCGAGGGCTTTTTCAAGCACCATTCATTTTGTTGTGATGCAGCTCCAGTTTCATTGAAAATACCATGAGCTCATGGGGTGGTGGGCTCAGAAGAAACTCTAATACAGTTAACAGTAGTCACACTGACTATTCTGGTCATGTTTTAGATTTAATCCGCTGATATTTCACTTACATAAAGTGCTTTGTTTATAATGGCTTGATTGAATTAAGAGTATCATGTGATCAGGGGCTGCGTATGCTATTTTTTACATCTTTACTTAGTTATTCAGAGAGCCACAACGTTGTCAGATTATGCTGTAAATATATCATAGTTCAGATCAATGAATTGCAGTAGGTAATACGCGATATTTATAAATATTTATTTGGCCTTGTAGCAACAGCTGCCAGAACAACTGGTGGCTGTTGTCACCCTTTGAATGTTAATGCCCTTGTTGTCATTCACCTTTCCCTCGCTCAGTTCACCCAGGCTCGTAAATGTCACCAGTGATCGGTGTTGCACAGGACCTTGGCTGAACACCAAGAGACAGAAATCCATTCCCACCCTCCCATCCAATCACTCCACGGGGGTGGACGCCATTTCTTTTGGTCAGCAGCCAATAAGACACTCTCGGTTAGCCTTGTATGTAAATTAGTCTGTTGGGGTTCGGACTGGGATGGACTGCAAAGCTTTTTCCGATGCAGACACTGTTGCTGCAGCCTTTTCTCCTCGATGACAGTCCAGATCCAAAAATCAGGAATGTTAGCTCTTGTAGTGAAATCAGAGCCAGTTTTTCACAGATCAGTGACTGACCCTCCATCTGTCCCCCGCAGAGTGAGCTCAGAGCGGAGGAAGGAGAAGTCGAGGGATGCAGCGCGATGCCGTCGTGGGAAAGAGCCAGAGGTTTTCTACGAGCT